CACATTTCTGTATCATATAACACAGAGCTCGGTGAATATGCGCAAGTCCTTTTTTTGCGGCAGTTTACTGCACCATATCTGAACAAGCATGAAAAGAGACTGCAGTAGTTAGTCATTAATATTTGATCTAGAATTCCAGACTTGTCTTCATCCATTACTTTTAATCACCTTGGAAACAATTGAAATCAAGGGGAATGAACTTTGATAAATCGTGATCTTGGAGGTTGGGAGTTCTTAGGAAATTGTATTTGGGGCATATATTGGCTGTATCATCACTAGATATATTTCCTTATTAAACACGATTACAACTGATTTAGAAAAATGAACTCAAGGAGTCATTTCAATACCCTTTTGTATATCCAATAGAAATCATGTTCGGATTACATAAGTCATGTTCACATACCCCCTGTCCACACACAATATTTTCCGTGATTAGCTATACCGTTTCGCGATAGTGATACCGTTTCGCGATAGTTTTACAATGAAATTGTGTGTGTGGACGTTCACTAACGATACGTCGTATAACGAAACTAGTTTAACGAAACGCAGGTTTGGGCATCGTTTCGAACTGAAACTCAATAAAAAATCACGCCTAATCACGGAAAATGTTGTGGGTGGACAGAGGGAGTGTAACTAGTGTAACTAACTGGGCAGGGCTTAACGTGACCTCGAGCGAAAGGAGACCAGACTGTAGAGTTTCAGGATTACTTTCTGCTGTTTATGGACATCCTTGAATTTATACGATGATTATTTATATGACGTTTCTTGTCTGTGGACACTTTGAAATTTATACTATGATTCTTTGTACGACGTTTCGTTATAGAGTTTCGGGATAAATTGTTTTGTGTGTGGACACGCTGATAGTTCCATAGGTGACTTACATGTGGAAGGTCATTGAAATTGCCTTAGGTTAATTTTTCGAAAGTAGTCGCAATCGTGTCCTATCATTTTTTGACATTTTAAGTACCAGTCATGTCCTTTAAGATCCACCATTGTTTAGGTTTTTAATTCAGAATCAAAGAACGCTGTTACATTTTGATGGAATGGAAATTTAATTTGAGATGCATTTCATGACAGTCTTCTATCAGATAAACCCTATCTGCAGAAGGTTTTGGTCATGTTTGATTTAATTGTGGTGTATTAACTTTGAATAGATAAAAACAAATAACAAGGTTGCTTTCATTCTCGTGATCAAAGTACATGTATATAGTAGCAAGCCCGTACAAGCGTTTTTTAAGTGGGGGTTCTTAGGGTTGCAACTTTGAGCCAGATTGAGCGGCGAATAAGCGGGGGGGGGGGGGGGGGTTTATAGAGCACAATTTTGTTTTAAATCAACACCCCTCCCCCAAACTTCAGCAACAACAACAAAAAACAAAATCCTTCTTTCTTTTTTTTGTAAGGGGGGGGGGGGATTCACGCGAACCCCTAGTTTATACGGGCCTGAGTAGCATTAAAACAAACAAATTTTTCCCTGGTGCAGCATAAGATTTAAGGATCTTATAGTACGAGCAAATGCAAAATTTTCGCTGGAAGATTTCTCTTCCCTCATTTCCCAATAGATACTATAATAGTTTAACAGGGTTAGGGCAGAGATTGATTGTAGGTCAGGTTAAGTGTAAAGAGTACACTTGGGTGTAATTCTGAGGTCAGTGCTGTAATTAGGAGTATGACGAAAATTGACTCTCGAACAATTGTTGGCAATTGCATGATGCTTTAGGCGATGCTTATAGGTCATGCAATCGCCTGATGTGATTGGCTGTAGCTTGATTTCAGAAGAGAATTACGTGGCCGTGATATATATATCTGCATCTTTGGAAGAATCAATCCCATCAGATCTATTCCCTTAGATGAGGTTACATAGATATGACAACATTAATAACCTTCCTGTTATAAAATAAACACTCAGACATCAAGAATGAAAGGTTATTAAGCAATGATTTCATTTTGTGTTTTGGTGTCGTGGTCAAGTGGTTTAAGGCACTCAACTGTAGATGCAAAGGTCGAGGGTTCGAATCACCGACACGGCACTAATATCCTTTGGCAAGATATTAACCTGCACTTGCTACTCTCCACCCAGGTGTTAAAATGGGTACCCGGTAGGATGCGACCGTCATTGTCGGTCAAACAGTTTTTGAGCGTAAAGTAATGCCTGGCTGGAATGCTCCCCAGGGAGTGGAGATTGTGCACACATTGTTTGCGGGCAAGCACTGAATCCAATGACCGGGGTAATATTATATCTGTAAAGCGCTTCGAGACGTCCGAGATGTAAGCGCTATATAAAAGCTGAATATTATTAATATTATTAAATTTCAGGACAGGGTTTATTTTTAGGGAAAAATTGATCATTTATATGCTTTTCACACTGGCAATATTTTCCTTAACCCCGTACTATAGGTGGGGTTAAGGGGGGGTCTTAACCCCACCTATAGTACGGGGTTAAGCCTATTCCACTTTCTGTTCAGACTGGTTTTTACCAAAGTGGGCTAAAGTTGGCTAACCCCACCTATAGTACGGGGTTAACTAACCCTGCAAAATAGCAGGGCTAACTCCGCAATTGTGGTGCTAACTCCTCCTAACCCCGCAATTGCGGTGCTAAGCAAATGAATGAGAACAGAAACGAAAAATAGTCCGGTACTACGCAATTGAGCGTATCGCAGCTGGCCAGATGCGAAGTATGTCCAATCATAACATACACGATATCCGGGGTTAACGAAATGCAGTGAGAACAGCGGGAATTTTCTTATTCCGGAATAGGCGCTAGTACGGGACTAAAAACAGCGAGTGTGAAAAGCCAAAAAAATAGTCCGGGGTTAAGGATAGTACGGGGCTAAGCAAAGTACGGGGTTAAGCAAAACCAGTGTGAAAAGAGTAATAGTGTATTTCAAATTGGTAACAATAATATTTTTATTTTATTTTATTGCAACATTGTTAAAATACAAAGTAATTATCGGAAAACGCCATACTTAGGTAATAATGTTGTCAAAAGCTTGAAGAAAAAACATTTTCCTTGAGGTAATACTGCACAGGCAATGAGAGTGCTTCATGCATCATGCTATAAGATGGATTGTTCATCTCAAAGCTAGCTGGTATGATTGGCATGAAATGAGATGAAAATGTGAGGTCTTTATGAAGAGATAATGAGAATGGGAAAAGAATTGACAGTATGAACTTTAAAGCAATGTAATAACAACCAAGGTTCCAATATGAGATTCATCATTGAAATGACATAGTGGGTTACAAGATGCTTAAGCCATTCTCTATCCACAAGCCTGCATGATCAATTCAAATGTAGTGCTCTGGTACTACTTTTCCTTCTGTTAAGACAATGAGACAATAAGACAATGAATGTCTTCATCAGCTCAAGATTGCCAAATAATCCTGAAGTTACAAATCGGTTCTTCATCATCTTGAGCAATGACCTCGAAACTCGAAACTCAAGCTCGAGAATTTAGCTTGGGATATTTGCTCAGCGTTTGTGCATAGTGCGAGTCTTAGGGCTGGTGAAGATGCACCAGACAAATAGCGGGATATTTTGCAACCTAGCCCAATATATCTTGGGATGATTATCTCTACCAAATATCCGCTAATTGCAACTGCAGGCTGATGAAGACGCAAAGTAGCTGGATAATTTGCGATCAGGATAGTTAAAATAGCGGGTTATTTGGCAATCTCAAGCTGATGAGACAAGCCCATTGTACTTTAAAGCATGTGGCCCTCTAGGGGTTTAGAACCAGGGTGAGGAAAAAGTTAAGGATGTAAGTTAACAAAGTTCCTTTTCTCTCCAGAATAACTGATCTTCTTCTAGTTGTTATTGCAATGAGTTGGATACAATCTGCTAGATCTAGAGTCTATTTAAATGGTGAAAAATGTAAGAAGATAAAAGAAATATTATTATGAATACATTTGAAAAATTACATAATATCTATTTTTGTAAGAAATCCATGATTTGAAAGTTTATAGAATATGAGTTGGAGTTTGGTCAAATTTATGCTGTTTTTCTATAAATTTAGGTTTCTCCATATACATTCTCTGGATTACCTGACCACTTGACACTCCTGTTGTCAATTTGTCATGTAGTTTTAGTCTAAGATCACTTCATTTGCTGCTTCATGTTGCTATCTGTGTTTGAAGATTACCTCTCTATGCTTTCTGAAGTATCTTCTTTTAGTCTTAGTTCAGAAGGCCCATTTTATTTCATGGAAAATAAGAAGAAAACCAATAAAGCGTGTTGATGACAAGAAATTAATATTACAGTTCAAAATTTGTAGTTACTGCAAAGAGTCTATCAGTCCATGTTGATTTGTAAAATGTAACATTGTGGGGATGATGTGTCCTAATCATTATAACAGACAAAGGTCAAGCCATGTGCACTACATTGTTAACGATATGGATATTTCCGAGTGTTTGTAATAACAGGGGTCCCAATGGATGTATTTTCAATACACGCCTACACAAACAAGCTGTGAGAATTAGAACATGCCATCTCAATTTCTTACTGGGCCATGACTCAGCATTCGTCTAAAAGTGCAGGGTTTATTGTGGTGTGTGGGTGTGTGATCCGAAAGGAACTATGTTATATTTTGTCTGAGAAGTTTAAAGCCCCACTGCACAACTTATAGCTTCTTTCGCCCTCTATATAGCAAACAATGCCTAAGCGGTACCTATTGATCCCCCACAGTCCCCTTTTTCTTATGTTAATTGAGAGCTGATTTGATGGGATAACCACCTGTCAGTGACAATGCAGGGAGGTCTAATCCCTCCTGGCTTAGAAAGGTTAAATATAATTATACATTTATTATTAAAAAAGGAAAGGTGGAATCAATTTCGATTCTTGATGAGAATCCTATGAGAATTCCACTGTGTAGTGTTTTGCTAATTATAAAGCCTGACTTCTAGCCATGCCCCCCCCCCCCTCCACACTTTTTTTTAAGGGGGGCCATGCCTTTGCAGCTGTTTTATTCGTCTCCTTTAACATCATCTTTGTCTTCCCTCTTTCACAGAGCCGGTGTAATACAGAAGAAGACTGTTTGGTTTGCTGAAGATGGTGATCTCACTCTTCAACTGTGTGAGAGAGGTAAGGTATCAATAGAATCTTAAAGGTACTATGTCCCTTTTGCAGCCAACCTCAAATTCTATAGAACTTTGCAGGAATTATGAATGTGTCATGTATGTCCTATCTGTGAAATTTAAACGTTAGCAGTGTCCTAATATTCAAATTATGCAAGGAAACCTGTTTACTTGCTAGACTTCACTGTCAGACAATATTGAGTGACTGACTGGCATTTTTTCTTCTTTGGTATATAACATACATTAAATGAGCTGTAAAGGGAATACTATAGCCTAGCTACAAGAGCATTTGTCTACATCAATAACCCACTTCTTGTGATGGCCAAAATTAAACTGATTGAATCTTTGCGCAGCATAAAACGTATGACCATTCGGTACAATGGTCTGAAAATCAAGACTATTACTTATTGGCTCTATAGCTCCTAAGTCGATTTGACAACTAAAAGTTGTTATTTTCCCACTTGAAGACATTTTCAAGCCCCACCTTTTTTAGGGAAGTTCTAAATTAGTATTATCTTTCAAATGCCGTTGGAATTTAACCTTTTCATATTTGGGGCCTGCAAATGGGACATATAGTACCTTTAACCTAGATATTAGGAAACTGGGTATCATATTGCCCTATCTTTTAAACAGTTACAATTAATTGAAATCAATCACAAAATGTTGTAAATCACAACTCTGTACAGAAAAGATAGAAGTTTGTAAGCTTGGAATGGATTGAAGGACTTAATTGCAATCAATCCAAATTAATGGCAGCTCTTTAAAAGACTGGGATATGCACATATATAATTTTTAAAGATATCATAAGAAGGTTCCTCTTGGTATAGAAAGGGTTCAAGAAACTTAGATGCTCGGATTTGATTACAGCTTGTTGCCAGTGGCTGAATTTGATCTTTAATATATTCAGGTTTGGAAAAACTTGAAAGTAATAGTAATAACAGAGGGGATACTCAAAATGAGAAATAGACAGGAAACAAAGTTTGTCAATGATTGGTAGAAAGGAAAAAGAGGTCATCTTAGTCTGTCCCATCTTTTCCAACAAAATATTATTATAACAAAAATTGATTTCTATTTTTAATAAAATTTTGATTCATAACCTCTTCCTGTGATTATTTCATTTATATTTGTCTTCAATCTAAATCATCAAAGTATTCAAGAATCTATGCACTATTATTATCTTTAGGAGGTTTAACTTGTGTATTTTTATTTATTCAGATATTTATTACTGATTCTTTTCTTTCTTTTCCTTTCCTTTCTTTTCTTTTCCTTTCCTTTCTTTTCTTTTCTTTTCCTTTCTTTTCCTTTCCTTTCCTTTCTTTTCTTTTCCTTTCTTTTCCTTTCCTTTCTTTTTCTTTTCCTTTCCTTTCTTTTCTTTTCCTTTCCTTTCTTTTCTATTCCTTTCTTTTCTTTTCTATTCTTTTCTTCTCTTTCCTTCCCTTATGTCCTTTTGTTTTTCCCCCTTTTTTGAGGGGGGGGGGGGGGGAGGAGTAAAATGGTATATTACACTGTAGGATTAATGATGTTCTCTTTGTCTAATGTCATTTTACCATGTGCTTTTATGAATCAAACAATATCCGACTGCTCTATGTCTACATCTATAATATTACTTACACTCATGATTTATATCATCTATTCCTTTTTTCTTTTACAGAGAGTGCAGGAAATGGTCCAGCCCCGCCTCCGACCCTTGACCCCCATGCCTGCTGCGCCCCGCCCCATGAAGAAGCCAAGTATAGATTCACCTTCGTTAGTACATGGACTCCACAGACACATCCAAGACAGTATCCCACTGGTAATATTATCATGGATCCAGATATGGCATTTTTTCCCCTTCTATTTAGTGACCTAACCAATGATTGGGGGGTGGGGGTGACATGCTTTCGAGTAATAGCAATTTAATTGCTTTTGTCACCCCTGACCAGCAGATTGTATCCTTCTCTCTCTCCTCTCCACTTTCCTAAAACTGTTTGTATGTATTATGAAATTTCTATGTATTATCTGATTGTTATACTCATTGTATGATTTTTGATTGGTCAAATAAATGATATTAATAATGATAATGAAACTGCTCCTTTGATAGCTGAATAACCTTTAAAACTGACTGACTAAACAAGTACTTTACTGAAAACTAAACCTTTCAAAGAAAGTAATTGACTAAACAAGAATAAAAACATTAATGTTGTTGTTTCTTGATTTTGAACAATAAAAACCTGAATAAACAAAGATAATGACGATTTACCCAGTCACCACCTGGTTCTTTTTCTCATCTTTTCAGGGAACGGTAACCATTGGTCTGATTTGATCGGAGCATCTCACGGTTCAGACTATACTATCTGGGAGTACGGCCAGTATGCATCGTATGGCATCAAGATGGTCGCTGAGTGGGGCAGCCCGTATAGACTAGAGAGAGAAATCAAAGAAGAGGTAATAATAATAATAGCGCTTATTACAATCACTAAGCGCTTCCAAAGTTAGAGATTATAACCAGGCTTTAGCTGTGCTGCCATTACGGCGCTCTATCATTGCAAAGAATTAATTCCTGCAAGATACCCATTTACATCACCATTTCAAACTTGTAAACATATCACTGACGTTTTTATGAATCGACAAATCTGTCCAGTAATTTATGTGACGGATTCGTCGGTTCATAAAAACGCTGACTATATGATAAAGTCTTCATAATTATATACTCTCTTAGTCATGCACATTCATTTGTTTGCGACTAGTTGTATATTTGATCATGTATTGCTAGTATCTCGTATTATACTGTTCATATTAGTAGTTGTGTTGCTAATTTGAAGAACAATATGTGATCAATTTAGCCCTTTAAAAAATATCCTGTTTTGAAAGCAGTGAGTTACGATCCATCAGCATACCTAGATGACCCACCATGATATTGAGAGTAGCGTTGATATAATTTCAAAGTTGTAACAAAAATAATCATGAAACTCAAAATAATAATAATAATAATATGGATATTTATATAGCGCCGGTATCCACCAGGCTCTGACACTCATGGCGCTGTACATAATTATTACAATCTCGAACATATCACTTTTTTAACTAAAATACAGGTAAACTAAAACAACACAAAGTATTACGGTACCGTAATTAACGTTGTATAAACCTTTTTTTTAATTTTTTTTTTGGTCGACTTTTTTTTGCCGACTTTGTCGGCAGCAAGCCTGGTCCGTGTTAAAAAACCCACGCGGGAAGGCCTTTCATTTAACTGCGAGGTGCAGCTGAATGTGTAAGATCATTAATGTAAATTAAAAAACAGTAGAGGACCTAGGGTAGAACCTTGTGGTACACCATGTAATAGAAGAAAAATTGGGAGGAATTATTATTATAAACTACATATTGAGATCACAGACAAATTTGACAGACAAATTTGAGTGTTGTTCTAGTTTCCGAGTGGTGAGTCAACACACCGATTACTGAGCTGGGAAACATTGCCAGGCATAGCGCCAGGTAGAGGGGCGTAAATCGAAACTTTAAAAAAAAAAAAAAAAATTTGGTGTACCGTGTATAAACCGCACCCCCGACTTTGAATTTTTTTTGGCAGCAAAAAGATGTGGTTTATACACTGTTAATTATGGTACGCCAAATTATAATTGTCCTAATTAAATAGGAGGTTAATGGAGGCTAATTCAAAGTTCTCTCAAAAATGCAACTCCATTTTTTGCAGAGGACAGTATTGCCGAGGACAGTATTGCCAGGTTGTAAAGATGTTTGTGGTTATATGCTCTTGACAAAAATGCTAATTTCTAGTCATGGAGTAGAAAGCAATTAATTTGACATGGCATCCATTATTTTCATTGATGCTGTCTGAGGCATTCATTGAGGTACAGTCCCTTTTTATTAAACTCAAGTGGAAAGTTGGAGTAATCATGCAGTATGATCAACCATTCTTAAAATGCTAATCTTGAGCTCTGGTATGGGAATCATAGTGAGGATTTAGAAGAAGAAGAAGAAGAAGAAGAAGAAGAAGAAGAAGAAGAAGGAGGAGAAGGAGAAGGAGGAGAAGGAGAAGGAGAAGGAGGAGGAGGAGGAGGAGGAGGAGTAATAGTAGAGTTGAAATAGAAGTAGTAGTGGAGGTAGTATTAATAGTTTCGGTAGTAGTAGTAGTAGTAGTAGTTATATACTTTAGTTGTAGTAGTATCTGAAAAAGTAACATGTAATATGTATAATTATCCTGAAAAAGGGTTATCACAAGAGATTACGTGCTCTTTGCCTTCACATTTGCCAAAGGAAACCATTTATCAACCACCGAGGGAAAAGTTGTCAGGGCAGAAATAATCTGAAGTGACATGATTTCCTCTATATAATGAATAATTCAAGACTGTATTCCACAGCGTAACTAATAAACATACAGTGTAAGAGATACAAGTAATAGTGTATATTTTCTGAATATTTATTACTAAGCTCTGTATATTCCACACATATACTATGCCTGTCACATATTCTATTTATCACAGGATAAATGAAATCAAAGGATTCGAGATTATTTTTAGCTGTTTCAAACTAAGATTAATTTTCACCACCGTTAAAAAGGTTGTCATGGAGCTAATCAAGACAAGAAGTGGGTAAAATTGAAAAGCCCATAATGTTGCGGCACAAAGCAATCCTTCCCTTATTTGGTGCCTGGAGTTGTGTGCTAAATCACATGTTTGGCAAATGAGCGCCCATGCAGGGAGGCAAAGAAAGCAATCATAGGGTTAATCTGTTATGACAGCCAAAATTGAAGGTTGAAAAGATCATAAAAATATATAGTTATAAATCATAGAGGCATATGTCTCTTTATCATAGGTGCTACATGTTTGACAGGATTATGTCCGGTTCAAGATACTGTTATTAGCTTATAAATACTTAAATGAACTAACTCCCTCGTATTTAAATGAATTACTCACTGCATAGAGACCAACAAGCTAGAGATCATCAATCATGTAAACGAATATATATACTGGTATTATTAATACTATTATTATTGTTATTAGTTTTATTATTATTATAATCTTTTATTGTATCACAGGGAGACAAATTATTAGAGCATGAATTCTATCATGTCACTGGCATAACATATTATTATGAGAAACATCATTTTGCTCTATGATATTTAAGCCAAATACAGACCTTATGCATGATCTTGGAGGATAGAAGTGGCAAGAAATTTTTCTGTCTTCATGATAAAGTTTGCCCCCCACCCCTCCCCACCCCCAACCTGATAAGACCTCCTGTCCCCCTTCTTCTTCCTGGACCCAGCAGCTTAAGTATCTGTATGTTACAGCGATTATGCTGACAGAAAATAGAGTTGAGAATATATGTTTTATTCAGCAGTGTAATGGTTGTATCCTGTCATGCAATCTTTGTATGTGTTATGATTAATGTGAACGTGGGGATGAATAACCTGCATTATGGATGAGACATTTGTAGCATGGAACAGAAATTTGTTACATAAAAGTCGATTGTGAGTGTAGGGTATTTGGCAGATTAAGTTTTCAATGATATTCCCTTAACACAAATATATTATAAGAACTATTATAGATTCAAGCTCACTGCTTTGGGGGGATCAATTACCAAGATAAAGAATAAGATTCGTACTGAGAAATGTGACATGAATATGGATAAAGATTTTGAGTTGGCTGCTTGTTTCTTTATATTGATTTTAAGATTGATGGAAAAGGCTTTGGAAATGTATTAAATTTGTTAAACACAGATTTTGTATCAAGTCTGCTATGATGTTCACATGTATTTCATACAAATAATTGAGTGCCTTTTGAGTTTGCACACAGTAGCTACAAATATTTTGTTAAAGAAAAGTAATGCTATGATGTTATTGGTTACAGTAGATATAATAAGAACATTTTTGAAAAAGTATTTTCAGTTTATCATTTTTCTTTGTATATGCATCTCATTTCATTATCTTGAATTCTCTCCCTTTTTATACAACTTTTTATCCTTTTACTCTCTTTCTTTCTGTTTCCCACTGCACTACTTTTTTTTTTTTTCTCTCTCTCTGCCCCCCCCCCCCCCCCCCCCCCCCCTCTCTCCCCTCTCTCTCTCTCTCTCTCTCTCTTTCTCTTCTCACTGTCCATCACTCTATCTCTCCCTCTCTTGCCCTTTCCCTCTCTCCATCTCTCATTCTCTCTTTACTTTGTCACTATCTCTCTCTCCCTCTCACTCTGCCTTCCCCTTTTCCCTTTCTCCATTCATCTCTCTTTTTCTATCTCTGTTTAATGTCTCTCCTCTTTCTCCTCTCTCTCTCTCTCTCTCTCCCTCCCTTCCTCCCCTGTCTCCCTTCCACCTCTCTCTCTCTCTCTCTCTCTCTCTTCCTTTCTCACTATATCCCCCTCTTTTTCCGGTCATCTTTCCCTTCCATCTCTCACTACCTCTATAACTTTTTCAAAACAGGGAGATAATGTCAAGACAGTGATCTTCAGTCGAGGTCTGTTCCCTGCGTACGGTCCTAGACTACGTAACATGACGTCCTACTTCAAGACCGATTCCCAACGTAACCTCGTATCAGCGGTCTCTATGATGGGTCCTAGCCCAGACTGGTGTGTCGGTATCTCAAAGGAAAACTTGTGTACGGCAGACTGCGGCTGGGTCGAGAGAAAGGTTTTCTATCTTCAGCCATGGGATGCAGGCACGGACAGTGGAATCATGTACAATGTAAGTGGTTCTTTTATTAATAGTTTGTATGCCCTTCATCGACAAAACATACTGTTAACAACTAAAATATTCTGACCCTTGTAAATTTGATGTCTTTTGTGTTTTCTGTAAGTCAAGAATGAAAGGTTGACCGGTTGAAATATGGCCTTTGTTGAATATAGTAAGATAAAAGCTTTAATATGTCACCTTCTCAAGAAATATAAATCAGTGCAAAAATCAACTGTGCAGAAAAGGAATGAAAGCAAACAAAGTGTCTATGTCTATTTCATATCACAGTCCAGCAATTCTCCTTTGGATCCACCCGATCCAATCCGTCCAATCACAAGCTCCGATCCAGACAACCCGAGGGCATCCTTCTATAACCCCAACGGAGGTCCCATCGGGTCCTTAGCAACAGTCGTCATTGAGAGAGTATCAATCCGTAACCGTAGTAACACAGAGACAGAGCACGGTACAGGATCTCAAGGTAAGTCCTCATTTGAAGAGTTTAATTCCAAAAGGAGCTAAATCCATTTTTGTAACTTCAGAGAAAAAAGAAACTGTTTACCAGATTTTGTACAGGCGTCTATGGAAAAGTGATATTAGACAATTTAATTTTTTCGTAATTGCTCCCAAAATTTATGTAAATAATTTTGTTGAAAGATATCTTAAGTGAACAATGTTCTGATATCAATAACTCAATTTTCATCATAATGTCCCTATTTTCATGAAGCGACGGTAATGAGGAAATTTGCATACAATTTGCGTGACAATTTTTTTCTCACTACCGTCACTTCGTGAAAATAGGGGAAATAAGTGGACTTAGCTCCTTTAGGAATTAAGCTCTTCACATGTGGCTCACAGATTAGGCCATGTGTTTGTCACAATTTGTCCACCCGGGAATATCTATTTGAAGTTCATTAACATGTATATCAATGTTTTAGAGAATTATTCATGCATTCAAAGTATTTCAGAAACTCTTTATATACCTGTACTATCAAAAACAATTTTTGAAAGAATATTGAACATCCTCTGCAGATGTTGGTTTGACTTCACATGATAGTAAATGAATTAAAAGGAAATGAAAAGTAAAGTCATTTTCATTTTCTAATAGTCAATACCCATAAAGTAACATTTTATTTGAATGCTTGGTTTAATTAGAAATGGAATTATTGTATATTATCGACTTCTTGTAGGTATAAGATTTTGTTACACAATGCATGATTCAAGAGGTGCAAATATAAAGATCCTTCTTGTATTTTGTAACATACTCAAAATTAGAGCCAATCCTTGTGTCACTGTAAGAGTTCAAAAGGAAATATTTCACATATATTACGACTAAAATAAGGCTGGAAGTATACATTGTAGATGTATCTTTATATCTAAGTTCTTGTTCAATTCCGTTTCAGGTGGAGTCCACGGAGGCATGCCACCCAAGAAACCTATGATGGGTGGCAACCCCACAATGCCACCAAAGGTCATGGGACAACCTGACCCCACAATGCCACCAAAGGTCATGGGAGGTCATGACCCCACAATGCCACCAAAGGTCATGGGAGGTCATGACCTCACAATGCCTCCTAAGGTCATGGGACGACCTGATCCCACGATGCCTCCAAAGGTCATGAGAGGTCGTGACCCCACAATGCCCTCAAAGGTCATGGCTCAAGAACCCACAATGCCCCCAAAGCAGATGGGAGTAATTACCATGCCACCAAAGACCATTGAGATTATACCAGAAGGTGAGATTCGTTTTAAAGCCCCACTGTACTAGTTTGGCCAGGAGGGATTAGACCTCCCTGCCAGGTCACTGACAGATGATTATCTCATCAAATCAGCTCTCATTTAAAGGGACTATGTCCCATTTGCAGGCCAAACAAATGAAAAAGTTAAATTCCAACTGCATTTGAAAGATAATACTAATTTAGAACTTCCCTAAAAAGGGTGGGGCTTGAAAAAGTCTTCAAGTGGGAAAATAAGGACTATTAGTTGTCAAATCGACTTTAGGGCTATAGAGCCCAAAAGTAATAGTCTTGATTTTCAGACAATTGTACCGAATGGTCATACGTTTTATGCTGCGCAAAGATTCAATCAGTTTAATCTTGGCCATCACAAAAAGTGGGTTATTGATGTAGACAAATACTCATGTACCCTTTACAACTCTTTTCATGTATGTTATTACCAAAGAAGAAAAAAAGCCAGTCAGTCACTCAATAGCGTCTGACAGTGAAGTCTAGCAAGTAAACCGTTTTTCTCGCATAATTTGAATATGAGAACACTGCTAACGTTTAAATTTCACAGATAGGACATACATGACATATTCATAATTCCTGCAAAGTTCTACAGCATTTGAGGTTGGCTGCAAAAGGGACATAGTACCTTTAACATAAGAAAAAGAGGATCATGGGGGACCAATGGTCACCGCTTAGGCATTGTTTGTTATAAATAGAGGGCGCAAGTAGCTATAAGTAGTGTAATGGGGCTTTAAAAGAAAATCTGTATTATCTATGATGCCATGATATGAGGGTTACAAATGTGTTATACAAATGAAGTTTATGAGACTCATTTTCAATCACTACTTTGTTTTCATTGATTTATGTCCTATTATAAATAGTTTCAAACCCCTATTTTAAATGCAAAGACAGCTTGCATTACCTTTGTCCTAAAACAGTTGCCGCAGTATCAAACTTCGTTTGGGTTTGAAATGCCTAGATTGTTACCTGTAGTGTTCACTATTTTCATCTATTTAATGTATGCATGTTCGTTGTGTACCTTTACGCTCTGCATCTGCTGGAAAAAAAAATTGTTCTGAATTAAATTCATGTATATCTCCTTTATTATGCAGATATGATCAATTACAGGATGCTTTAAAAAAATAAAAGTATTTACAGTACATCGATTCGGTTAACTCCATGTGTGTCTCTATGAAAAAGTATACAATGATTTTGTGGCATATGTTTTTGGTCTTATACTTTTGAATCATTGAATGCATGAAACAGTGAAAAGTGATTAAATGTCTAATGATTTATCTTTTCTTATTTTCCTCAGGTGATATTCAAACCATGCCTCCTAAAAGGAGAGGTGAGTCTAGAATTATTGATTTGGTTTTCTGTGTGCATGTTACTCCGTAGGCTAGGAATAGTATATTAACCCATGGTATTTTAGTTTCACCTTTTAGGGATATTTAATATTTTTATTTGTATCTTTCTCTCTCTTTATATCTTTGTGTGCTGTGCCTCATTGAGAAATATGTACCATTCACTTATTGTGAATAAATGTATTTCAATAGTCAGAATTAAATTTAGTTTTGCGTCTCTAAAACATTAATTACAGTGAGATCCATTGTTTACCAAAAAAATATGAAATAAATATTGACAATTGTGCATTTCCCACTATCAGGACAGGATTTATTTGTAAAGCTTGATTGATCACATTTTATTTTTCAAATTGGCAACAATAATATTTCTCTTTTATTACTACATTATTAAAAAGGCATTTAATGTCTCTGAAAGTATTACATGGAAGAGTGCTGTCGAAAAGTTGAAAAGATGGCCTCTATATTCAGTTCCAAATTCCTTCCTCATAATAGAGCCCTAAGAAATTTGCCAGATGCATAAGTAGAAAGGGCAACAAATTCTGCGCACACTGCATCCATATTTGTTGAATGACTATATTGCACTGGATGCAGGGAACTTTAAACAGAAAAATAAGCTTTAAAATACGCAGCATGTTTTGAGATTAAAAATTTCTTTTATTTACCACAATAAATCATATGTATCTACCTATATGCTTAGTCCTCCAGACAAAGCAGTCATCAAAATAAAAAAGTCCCAGTTTTTTTTTTCTAGAAAAAAATGCAATTTTTCTCAACATTTTGACAACACTCTCTTTCCCATGAGTATCCATAAGTTAAAGTTATTGATCCATACCACAAAATGTGGAATGATCATCTTGAAAATGTTATGCATTGCTACTGCATAATCAGCCGTATTTTACCCCAGTCCATCCAAATAGCTTTCTCCTTGAAAGTAAGCTGTATAAAGTAGGTTGAAAATGCACAATTTTCAGTTTTTCAATCAGGATACAATTAGCAGGCCAAGCGGGAGGCTCAATCCAATTCTTGGTTACCTTGGTAAAAATGACTGGTTTCCATGGCAACTACTGTAGGCAGATAAATCCAAGCTGAATTAATAGGTTTAAGATGCAATTTAAATTTAATATTGGAGCCCATGTGGATAACTCAAGGCAATTTCTTGTGATATGATTGAAAACATATTTTCTGCAGCAGAAATTAATTTCTTGTAAGGGTAAAATGAGTAGAGGGTTAATATGCATATACAATGCTATAGGGTATTTTTTGTTGTTTCCGAAATTATGGGCATCAGTCAAAGTAGATAGAAGCATAAATTTGTTTTCACAAGATTCCAAAAATACTCAATCGATTTGGAAATTGCTGTCAACTTTTTTACATAAAAGAGATCATTATGAAACTTCTTTTTTAATGGATTTGTTGAGGCATTTATTACATGTAACACAATCTTTTCCTTGTTATATTAAAGGCAGTTTGGATATTTATATAATATTGGATGGTTTGAGTGTGATACAAGAATATATTGCTCGAGCTATGACAATATTGGACGAGTCAAAGATGAGTCTAATATTGTCTTAATAGAGCAATATATTCTTGTATCATACGAAAACAAAGCCATATACAATATTATTATTATTATCTTTATTAGTTTGACTAGCGAAATATCAAAATGTTACTAAGCTCAGTAAATATGGCTTTATTTGTGTGTGATTTCGCCATGATATCGCTATCGATAGTTGAAGTTCCCAGATGACTGAGCAATACGAAAACAATATTGGTCAGTCATCCGGGTACTGCGCTAAAGATATTGAATACACTGGTTTATTGTACCTCTTAGAAGCCTTATATAAATAATAATACACAATACCAGCAGATATTTTGATACTTGATATATGTTTGATAATAGATAACTTTGGGGATAATACACAAATTATAATGATAAATATAGTAGCACATGTTCATCAACTTGTTATTAGTCCATGACATTCAGCCTTCTCTTCATGACTTTCCTTATTCTTTTTTTCTATAGGTAAAGTAGTAGACTGTATGATGACGGCCTGGGGTGAGTGGTCAGAGTGTTCCAAGTCTTGTGGGAAGGGTAAGATGCTACGGCAGAGGATGATCAAGCAGAGACCTCGCAACGGAGGAGAGGAATGCGGGCAAACCAAGGAGAGACAATCATGCAACGTGGCCAGATGTAGTAAGTATACCCTAATTAATTATAATGTTATATGTTCAATCATTTTTAAATATTGTACTCATGAGCTTACTTTGAAGCCTGTCTGTACTAGTTTGGCCAGGTGGGATTTTACCTCCCTGCAAGGTCACTGACAAGTGGTTATCTCCTGAAATCAGCTCTCAATTAAACTACAAAAAAGAGGATCATGGGGGACCAAAAGGCACCGATTAGGCATTGTTTTTTATATTTTCTATATAGAAAAATAGCAAGTAGCTATAAGTAGTGCTTTTAATTGATTTTATGTGTAATAATTTGAATGTAGCATATTGATATTCATATATTTATGTACCAGACCCAATAGTTTATTTGACTCTGTGTACATTATTTTTACCTTCATTATCTATTTGTTTGTATTTTTATTTGTATTTTGAAATCCAACCCCAAGTTTTGGATGCAATAAAGAAATAATAATAAAAGTATACGGTAGATCTTTGTTTTCTAAAAAGATTCCCCCATCTACTGGTAACAGTGAAATTTCTCCTGCATATGCCAGTCATATTTTCAGGAGGCGATGGGGGGGGGGGGGCACCACCCTGAATTTCGAGTGGTGACTACCCCGTAAATCTCCGTGTATAAGGCGCACCTGTGTATAAGGCGCACCCCTATTTGGGGGAAGGAAAAAAAAAAAAAAAAAAAAATCGTTTTTTTTTTGTTTTGTTGTTGTTTTGTTGCCGAAAACCCACGCGGGGAAGGACCTTCATTATACATCGAGGTGCAGTTGAAGGCGCTGATTTGTGCTTGTGAACTTGTCACAAATAATAGTAACAATGTCGTTTTTAGAAGAATGTGTAAGATCATTAATGTAAATTAAAAACAAAAGAGTACATATGGTACCAGTGGTGCACCTTGTGGTACACCAATTGTTATAGAAAAAAATATTTGAGGAATTATTATTATAAACTACATATTGAGATCTATTAGAAAGATCACTTTCAAACCAAGATGACAGACAAATTTGAGTGTTGTAGTTTCTGAGTGGTTGGTCAACACACTGATTACTGAGCTGGGTGACATTGCCAGGCATAGCGCCATAAATCGAAACTAAAAAAAAAAAACTTTTTTTTCTGTACCTGTGTATAAGGCGCACCCCCGACTTTCAGATTTTTTCGGCGGCAAAAAAGTGCGCCTTATACACGGAGATTTACAGTATTGAGCTACATTTTTGTGAAACATAGAAAAAAGTATTTATATGTACAACAACATAGAATAAACAGGACCCCCTTTATAATGTAATTTCTTTTCTTTGGGGAGAGTTGTGATGATTGGCTATAGGCTTTAAAGTTTTTATATTTGTGAACATAAATGATGTAAACAATTGATTTTCTAAGCCAGTGATTGTCAACCATCATCTTTCTCTTTATAATTTGTGTGTTTATTATAAGTTTTGGTTGGTAATTTGTAGAAAAACAATGGTGCTCTTAGAAACAACAGTATTATGCCCATAATAAATGTTGTGCATTATTATTATTATTATTATTATTATTACAGCATCGGTAGATCGAGACTGTCGGATGAGTGAATGGGGGCCGTGGTCCGACTGCTCTGTATCATGCGGCGGTGAGATGGGGATTGAGTTCAGGATGAGAGACGTCGCGAGGAGAGCGAGGGGTGACGGCGCCCCCTGTGATCCGTTGAAGGAGATGCGTGCCTGCTCAGCCAATCCCTGCTGATGACTGAGGAACATCCTTTTTATAACGAGAGACATTTTGATTTTCACACTCAAAAAATGACAGAGACGGGTAATTCCATAACAGCCATATTGGAATGCCATATTGAAATGATAACAGCCATATTGGAATGATATATCGAGGGGTCAGTGACACAAAGAGGCAACTCCATTTTGGCCATTTTGAGAAAAAGTTTAAAGATAGAAGTCCCTGCCGGATGACTCTGAAACATCCTTTTTATAGTGAGAGACATTTTCACCAAAAAAAATGACAGAGACGGGTAATCCCATAACAGCCATATTGGAATCACATAATGAGGGGTCAGTGACACAAAGACATAACTCCATTTTGAGAAAAAGTGATTTGAAGATAGAGGTCCCTGCTGATGACTCTGATACATCTTTTTTATAATGAGAGACATTTTCACACCCCCCCCCCCCCCAAAAAAAAAAAAATGACAGAGACAGGTTATTCCATAACAGCAGTATTGGAATCACATATCGAGGGATCAGTGACACAATGACGTAACTCCATGATGCCCATTTTGAGAAAAAGTGGTTGAGGCCTAAGATAGAGGTCCCTGCTGATGACTCTATATCTGAAACATCCTTTTTATAATGAGAGACATTTTCACACACAAAAAATGACAGAGACGGGTAATTCTATAAGAGCCATATTGGAATCACATATTGAGGGGTCAGTGACACAAAGACGTAACTCCATGATGCCCATTTTGAGAAAAAGTGGTTTATGTTACACTGAGCACTTGGGCCTTAAGGAGTTAAGTCTATGTTTCACTAGCCATAGACTTCAATGGGGTGTTGGTTGGAGTTAAGTCTTTGTGTTTCCTGGAAAGCCCACATTTTTCTGAATATTTTTATATCAAATACTCATTTTGGCAAAATATGGAGTTACGTCTTTGTGTCACAGAACCCTCGATATAGCAAATCTTTGCTATCTTGATCTCATGGCATGGATTGGTTTTATATTCTAACTGATTGGTGTAGGCCTACTTATTGAAGGGTTGGGTGATACACCAACTACCATATGAAAATGTATGGAAAAACATTTCTCTTGCACATGGGTAGCTCTTACATTGAAATGATATTGTAAGAAGTTTCATCAAGGGAATTTGGCACATTTTATGCTTCACCTTGCAAAATTAATTTAGTTTCAGGATGTCACTTAAATAGCAAGGTGCAGTAGATGTACTTACATTTCTAAATTGTTTTTTTGAGAAAATTTCCTTTTTAGAAATGAGCTCATCATGGTGGAATAATACCTGATAAAAATTAACCACTGTGTAGAAGACACGTAGCTTCAATGTTTTTCTTTTATTATAGCATTTCTGTTATTTTTGCGAGTCCTCAATCTGCACATTAGATATTAAAGAAAATCATGGCTTTTTGCCAAGTGGTTTTCAATGTCCAGGAAGTGAACATGTTTTTTAGTCATTCCAATCTAAGAGGTATTTAATATAGCCCTTTTTCCTTGCAGTTACTTAGCGCTGCACACATCAATGCTCCACACAATTGGGCCACTAGCTTAAAGGGATCGTTTAACAATTTTAAATCTGAGATGTTATGACGTGTTATCAGTGTCTGTGATATGGTGTTACATTCAAGCCCTACAAAAATTGCACTTCAAAATGATCAAGAAGTGCCTCAAAAAAGTAAAAATCTTTGAGTGACCGGTTTTACCATACACGTTTTCGCCAATAGACTGTAGTGTTATGAAAACCGTTTGGCAAACGCAAAATTTGATTTCAATTTTCAATCATAAATATCTTGATAATCAGACAGGCGATCGGCTTGTAAAAGTCATTGGGGTCCTGACTGACCTAAATGTTTATAATTATCATTGCAGCATGAGCTAAATCACAGTAGAAGGGAGCAAGTTCTACAATTTCGATGCAACAGATGCAAAAGGCACTTCTCCTACACACTGTGACACTTGCCATTTGTGTACATACCTATAGTCTTTAAAGTTGTGTTGTTTTTTTATTGTAAGATAATACAACACTTAATATAGCATACCGTTTACTGATAAGAAATTGGTTAATTCAGTTCCATTTTGGAAAGATGATATAATGTGAAGAATGTGTGTTTTATCCATATGCCCTAGCAAAAACAAGTTAGTGATCTTGTTATGTTGACCAGGTATTGAGAAATCTGCTGCATTTAATTGCAAAGTGCCAATTAGTAGTACATGTTTTTAAGTGGTTTTTGTCTTGAGTAAGAAGATCATTAAAGATCCTTGTTTCATACATAATTTTAACAATGAGTTCATAAATTTTGTTAAAATAACTTTTTTTACAATAACAGGTGTCTATTTGAAGTTGGGTGTTTTCTTCAATACTAAAGCAAAAAAATATTTATAAACTGAGGCAAATTAACTACAAGCACCATGAAAATGTTAACAAAATATCATTTTGGATAACCGGTAACATAATTAAAGGTAAAGACCAGTTAAGGTCATGCGATTGCATTGTGAAAGAAACGTTGTGGAATCGATCAGAAAAGGTTGATCATCTAGCATATAAGTATTGGTGTGTACTGCAAGGTTCTGGAATCATCAAAATGATAAGAACTATGGCTCAGTCTTCGTAAAGTTACAAGGACTGAACACAGAAAGATGTATATGGGACTATACGCACACGTGCGGGACACGTGCGTATCTCTCACAGACCATGTAGATAAACTAATTTACCAAATATATCAATTAGTAGGCAGTTTCCAGGCAAAAATGTTATCATCATGTATAGTCAAAACATATTCTTTCACATGATTGGTAATAAGAGCTTCCATTTCATTTTTTGAAATTGGGGCGTTTCCAATACTGGTCTTTACCTTTAAGAGTTTGAAGAAATGTAGAATCTTAACACTGTTAAAGTAATCATAATAGACACTAGGGGATTTTTGTAAAACTACAGAATTTTAGAACTACAGACTTGGAGATGAAACAATTCCTTGAGAAATTTACATGATCTTATAACCCTTAATTATGTGCCATCTTTATCCTGTTTTCTACATTAGCATTACTACTTTGTCAAGGAAGGGGTGGGGGGGGGGGGGGACACACCCCACCTTAAGGCTCGTTCAGATATGACATGGTAAAACACCTTTTTTGCATTCTGCGCATATTCACTGAGCTCTGTGTGTTATAAGATACAGAAATATGACTCGCGTCACACTTTAAATCATCATTTTCCTTTTAACGCAACGGTTTGTCAGCATATCATATCTGGAGGAGGCCTTGGTGTGTATTGTATAAATGTATCATACATTTTTAACCACTACAGTCTTTGTACTACATGTATCTATGTTTATAAACTCTATTTTTCAATAATGTTTTATGCACTTCTATTCTGTACATTGTAGCTGATAAAATACAAAAAGCAAGTTCTCTTTTTATGCAATTACATGTATATAAATGTGATAGTATTAAAAACACATCACTTTTGAAAAAACAGAGATAGGTTTTGAAATAGACAGGAAATATATTAATAGTGTTCTAATTAGAGCATTTATGGTTTTTATAGTTCTTTCATTCAAAGATGCATATCAAATTAAAAGTATCCTGACAATCTTAAGCGTTAACTTCCACATTAATCTGCAAATTGGCAGAATTACTCTCAAAAGCATTCTCAAATAGGTGAGATATTGAGTTCTTCCTGTGAGGCTTTGTTTTCCTTGGAATGTCTCAGAAGTTTTTTGTGAATGATTTTAGGTCATCTACTAATATACCAGCCTAAAAACTCCCCAGGGAGTGGAAAATGTGCATACATTGTGTGCGGTAAGCCTGAATCCGATCATCGGTGTAATAATATATCTGTAAAGCACTTGGGCTCATCGTTGTATTGGGTGCTATATAAAAGCAGAATATTATAATTATTATTATTAAACTCTTTGAGAGCGATTGGTCCTTTATGATTCACTTTAATAAGAAAGTAAAAGAAATAAAAGAAATAATTGAATAACTGTTAACCCTTTGATTGCTGTCTTTGCATGTCTGCACAGTTGCTTGTTTGCCACACCTGCAGGTTTGCTCAAGCACGGGGCAACAATTGATAGAAGGATTGCTTTGTGCAACACAGTAGCTTTTAAAAACTACCCATTTAACGACTTGATTTAAGCTCAATGACGACACTTTTAACACGGGTATAAAAAAAAAATTCACTGGAAACAGTTAAATAAGGCTTTGGTACAGATAACATTTTCACTGGAAACAGTTAAATAAGGCTTTGGTATATATCCCACGATATATATATAATGTGGCATGTGAGATTATTTGTGTGACACATGCCAAGATACTCTGCACAAACCAACCAAAATAGTGTTTACTATCATAATTGTATTGGTTTGTTAAAGTACTCTTTTTAAGTATGAAGTGATTCATATGCATTATCATTTATGCCATGTAAAAATAAATGTAAATGTGCTTTCTTGCATTCTTAACCATTCTTTTTGTCTTGTTATTATTTTCCTCTATCTCTTGTCCTAATAATTACATACAGTGGAAACTCATTATAACAAGATCCTGGGGAATGTGGAAATTACCTTGATATATGAAAGGGAACCTACACCTTCATACTAAGTTACTTTCATTATAAAGTTTAAAAGATTTGAATAAAATCAGTGAAAATTTGAACAAAATCAGGCAAGGAATAAGGAAGTTAGAGCTTTTTGAAATGACTAGTCACTAGAGGGCGGTATTCAATTTGATGACATCTGTGGACAACTCTCCATGCCTTTTTTACATAAAATTTCACAATTTTTTCGTTTTCTTTGTATTTATTTGTGTTCTTGATCCGACTTCATAACGGTGAAGTAAAATATAATTTTGCATTCTATATCTTGCTTTCAGGGGAGTAGATTATCTCAATCACAAGAAAGAAGGAAAAACATGAAATTTGATGTACAAAAGGCATGGAGAGTTGTCCACAGATGATGTCATCAAATTGAATACCGCCCTCTAGTGACTAGTCATTTCAAAAGGCTCTAACTTCCTTATTCCTTGCCCGATTTTGTTCAAATTTTCACAGATATTTTTCAAATATCTTAAACTTTACAATAAAAGTAACTTAGTATGAAGGTTTTGGTTCCCTTTAAGGGTAAAATATATATATTGAGCGTTGGGACCAGCAAAATTACCTTGTTAAAACAGACATCTCGCTATATCAGAGCCCTTTATAATGAGTTTCAACTGTAATACACTTTTTTCAAAAGATATGAAATACAAAACAAGATAAATTAGAGAAACGATTGAATAATGGCAACAGAAAAATATGTTGACCAATAATAAATTTAAGAATGTTTTCATAATATTGAGACTACACATGGAGTCGAGCCTGTTGGTCAGTGGCCTATCATAGTTCTTGAACCCATTTTATAATCGTTTTAACCTCTCATGGTTAACAGACAAGACACATACAGGAAGAAAAATATCACAAATTGCTTTTCCATTTAGCAAATCACATTCTCCCTCTATCACACTCTCTTTTGAACTAATGGTACTAATCCAGAGCGGGAAAAAGGCCTCCATTTATGAAATTGATGTAGTTTTCTGTAGCTCTAAAGACTCTTAAAAATTCTTCTTGTTCACCTTCTTGTCAACAATCTACAAAATAAAATTATATTAAAGGTAATACAAGTTTTGGTATGGGGCCATGAATTTGGTTCAAATAAAGATATTGGAAGCATATGCGATTTTACAATATTCAGTGATCATTGTCGCGGTTGAAATCCGAGTCTAAAGAGATGAAATTGTAAATACAAAATATTGTTGTATAGCTCCCTCTCAAGACCGATATTACTTTAGTACTGCTCATTCAGAGATTTTCATGGTCGCAGCTACCATGGAATGGCCTTAGGCGCCATTTGAAATATTTGAAATTAACCGGGAGCACCGGTAAATTTTTATTATTTAAGTTCTCGAGTGTTTTAGGGGCTAAATTTTCTAGTGCTTACAATACATCCATAGGGGCATCCAAATATATCAACATTTTAAATAAACATCCATCCACTGAATTTTCAAAATTTCCCAAAGCTTTGCATAACCTTTAAGAAATCTGTTTACGCCCATTTTTGTAATATGAGAGCATACACTACCGGTATATACATCACAAAAGGCAAAGACATTAAAATGTTTTAAACTTGGCAAATCACAGATTTATTTTACCTGTACAATCAAGTTATCTACAATATAGTACTTTCCCATTACATATAACAAATGAGAATCAGATTTTATACAGGAATAATTAAAAGCAGTAGGCATACAGTATATCATGCATGTATAGAGGAAGCACACCATTAAAAATACACATGTAAATTTACATATACATAGTCCATGCACTCACTCAAAAGGAATGTACAGAAAAATTGGTACATACCCATTAAATGCACATTAATAAATCCCATACAGATTTCTGCATGGGATAAAGTTTTTCAAAAAATGTCCATACCTGCCGACCTTCCTCGTGAAAAAAATAACATAGAAATCTCTCGAGGCAAAATTTGGACTAAACTTAGACAGAAATAACTGTCCGATATGTTTCATTTCTTTAATAAAACTGCCATTTATTGACATTTCCCAGGCAGATGCAATCTCAGCGGAACAACCGTCGACATCAGAGACTGAAGCTTTCGGTCTAGACTAAACTGTACTTTGAATGCTTTTAAAAAGTTGCCAGATTAAAGGGTTCATAATGTTTGCTTTAATAACAATCGGAGAAGCATTCGGAAGTGGGCGGCCTCTACTCTCCGGCTCTTTCCAAAGCAAATTAGAAACTCCTTTTATACATCCCAAATTAAAATACTTAGAATATGCTTAATTGCAACAGTAGACTCCTGATTAAAATGTGTTCGTAAAAACTTGAATAGTTAATGTATATAAATTTAGTGATAATAAATACAGAGTACTCTCTGTAAATCTCCATAATTCACCCCTGTGTTCTACAGAAGTACATGCCTATCTTTATATTTTATGATTACTTAATTTATGATCTCTAATTTCAGTTTTATGTACTGTGATAAATGACAGAGAACATTGTTTCTAGATGTAAAATAGTTATCAATGAATTGTGAAATTTGTTCTTTACTTTAAAAAACCTAAAAACAAAAACAAACAAAAATAAAATCTTTAAACATACATTTGTTTTGTCCAACTACCGGTATAATGTATATGTTTTTTTCTTGTACACTAAGTTAACATGGTAAAACAAAAGTTAAAACATTATTCATTTAAAAAAAGTACCTTATCATTGTAGTCTAAAGAATATCAACAGTTTGCATTTTAAAATAAATTTCTATTTAACCTTTTTAAAAACTTTCATGAAAATTTTTCTATTACAATAAAAAATGTATTAATTTACCCATGAAATCTTAAATCTACAGAAAATATATAATATAGTATCTTGATTTGAGATATTTTTTGTTTAAATCAGACCTAGACATATGTTTTGTTTTAAAAATATTTATAAATGTTTGTGTTGAAAAAGAAGCAGATTACAAGGAAGAAAAGGAGAAAAGAAATAATCATCAAGACTTCGACCGAAACAAAACTTTGGCTTTTTCTATAGATAGGAATATCAATACATGGTTATACTTGTAGAATCAAACAACTTTGCAATACACATGACATTTACAAATAAAAATCATTTAAAAATATTGTTTAGATAATAGAGTGTAAAATGTCAATAGGACTAATGTCTGATGCGGGATAAAAAATTCTCAATATTGTTTCATAACAATTTCACTCTGTTTTGGGGCCAGAATGGCATCAAGTCATATACGTATACTTTGATACAAAGTTAAAGCACCTCTTGCTCTCAACAAACGATATCTTCCTGTCTATGGACAACTTGTATGTCGTCTATTGTAATAAAAAAAACTGAAAAATGGCAAAGGCAGCACAAGAACATGTACAGTCAAACCTGCTTAAGTGACCCCCTGTCTACAAAGACCACATTTTTGTTTCCCTTGAAAATGGTTTCTCATTGAAACATGTACTAAAGGAACCTATCTACAAAGACCACCCGTCTACAGAGACCCTTTTTTGTGTTTCCCTTGGGCGGTTGCTATAGACAGATTTGACCGTAATATGAGCAGCATAGAATTTAATGCATAAGAAAGCAGGATAAACCAGAGGAAACCTCAACCACACACAATCATTTCTGGAATAGTATATAAAATCAATTAGCATAACTCCATGTACATGTACAGTTAACAACTAAACTATCCATACCCTATGTAAGTTTGATATTTTTTGCATTTTTCATAAGTGAAGAATAAAAGGTTGACTGGATGAATTAGAGCCTTTGTTGCACATTTTAAGATATAAACGTTAATATGTCAGGTTCTCAAGACACACATATTGGGACCAACTAATTTTTCACTAACTTGAACAATTACAAAACTTGGTAAGGGTATGTATAATTTAGTTCTTAACTGTATATGTACTTTATTTGCATGTTTATATGGCATTTCATCATTCAAGTTCAAGTAGGTGGGAGCATTACAAAATTCCCTGCGAAAAAGACAAAATAATACCTTTGCCTCTAAATGTTTGCAGCATTTGCATGGCATTCAACCCTTTCAAGTTCCTGTAATGGCAATACTGTCCTCATAATGCAGTCAACAGGCTTAAAATAATTTTGTTTAAATAAAAAATCCTGCTATGCATGTAAACATGATGTAATGCTGCTGTAAAAAATCATGGAAAAAGACTTCAAAATCAATACTGGATATTTGTCTTAGTCTCTTGGAGGTAATAAATTAAATAAAAATCAAGATAAAATATATACAGATATTCATGATTTCAAGAGCATACACATCAATGTTTACTTGCACTGAACCTAGTATATTTAACTATAAATTGACGAGTGCTTTGTCCACACACCATTTCTGGACTTCATGGCACTCCTTGCAGTTACTCGCCTCACCTACCATCCCAGTATAGCTGCCAGAGGGATTACTCCATCAAGTATCAAGTATCAGTCTTGCTTAAAGATGAAGCTGAGTTATGGTCATGCGATTGCATTGTGAAAGAAACGGTGTGGAACCGACCAGAAAAGGTTGATCATCTAGCATATAAGAATTTGTGTGTATTGCAAGTTTCTGGAATCATCAAAATGATAAGAAATGTGGCCAAGTCTTGGTAAAGTTATAAACACTTGCACAGAAAGATGTATATGGGACTACACGAACACGTGGCGTAAAAAGCCCCCCCCCCCCCCCCCCCCCCCCCACCGATTTTTACGATGTTACATGCATATTTAGAATATGAAGGCATTTGAAGAGCCATGCTTTTCAGGGAACATGTCTTAACTGATGTTCTTCCACACTTGCATAATAAGAATGAGTAATGCTCAAAAATTATTTTTCACCTCTTACCAGAACTCAACCTTCTCTTTAATACACATTTTATAAAGGAGATTAAAATATTAGACAGCTTGCAAATTGCATAGACATGAATCTGAATTTAGGCACTTCTGACAAATAACTAGTCATTATTCAAAGAAATAATTCATCAAGGCATATGTACCATCTCATAACAAGCATAAAAGTTCAGCAAATGCTATCTCAAGTTTCCTGGCTTGTATATCGAGGGTTCAGTGACACAAAGACGTAGCTCCATATTTTGCCAAAATAAGTATTTGATATCAAAATGTTCAGAAACATGTGGGCTAGTGAAACATAGACTTAACTCCTCAAGCCTTTTTCTAAAAATGGCCAAAAATGGCCAAAACGTCTTTGTGTCACTCGCCCCTCGATATACATGTACAAGGATGGGAACAAAGATCATTTTCTTTGACAAAGTATGTCTTCTAATGCGCATCACATTTTATCCACACTGCTAGCCTGATGTGATGAAATCATTGCAATTCGTCTGCCTAGGAGGGAGAGTGTCACCACTGACTGATAATCCTTGCACAACGGGACATGGAAAGATCCAAGGGCGGTGCTGAGGAACTGTGCTCGGGACCTCAGCATTGGAACTACCACAAGCCTCTCGGGCAATGACACCATTCACACGACCGCTCGAGGAAACACTGCCAAGACTTGCCGCCTTGGTGTCAGGATTGGGATTGTTCTGGGTGGCGAACCTTGGAGTACATCCTGGAGCAGGTCCATGAGCCACCTGCAGAGGATGCGGCCCACCTAGAGGACTTCTCATACGACAAACTGCCTCTTGGTGACACCTATTCCAGGAGCCCACTGGGGTTGTAGGATTGATGTTCAAGGGTGGTATGTAGCCTGCACTGGAAGTCCCTGATGGAGTGGGGTTTCCGGTACGGGGCCTGACGTGTATCGTATATGTCGTGCCGTTGAGTGTGTATGCAATCCCTGACGGGGGAAGTCTTTGCTGCATCCTTTGCTGGATCTGTTGTACTAAAGGTGACTTCCAGAGCTTGGACGGCCCTGTACCGAGTCCTGAGCTGACAGCAGGGATACTTTGCAGAGACCGAGGTAGGCTCTTGGACGGCCCTGTACTAAGTCCTGAGCCGACAACAGGGATACCGTGCGGAGACTGAGGTAGGCCCTGAAAAGAAGAGTTTGGTTTTGACGGTGCAAGACAAGCCTGAATCCCTTCTCCTGAAGAAGGAATTGTCTGCAGTTGGTGTAAGGGCACATGGTGAGTAAGAGATGCAGAAGGATTCGTAGAACTGTCGTTGGTTGAATCACCACTCTGCAGATCAGATAGTCTTTGCACTGATGTAGGGCCTACCTGTTCCATATTTACCAACCCTTGACCAGGACTACAGATATCTGCAGGATGTACCATTGGCTTACAAAGCAACTTGGATGATGCTGCTGCTGCTTTTGAACGCATCAGATATGGCGGCAGAGTTGAAGACTGTGAACTAGACGTAGACATAATCGTAGGCGAAGGTTCATCTCCAAAAGCTGGCGGATGAGTGCATTTTCCTCCTGACCTTACTTTGGGACAAACATGTTCAGTCTCAGGTAGCTTTTGAAAAGTACTTTGTGACATCGTTGCAGGTGCACTCTGTTGCTCTAAAGGAATCCCTTCCAAAGGCTTCAACCTGCCAAGATCTTCATGGCAGTCTTGAGGACCGGGGATTGTGGTATCGTCTCCAGAGTAACTAACGGATTCCATACCCCTCTGGCTACTAATAAAATCTGAATTGAAGTACTTGATTGAAGCAGTGGAAGGCTTTGGTGTGCTCGTGAACAGAGGTTCAGGGGACATTCCTGCACGGGCATCAACGATGGAGCGATGTGGCGACAGATACATGTGGTGATTGGTCTGTGGCAGTACTGGCCTAGGGGATGCCAGAGCAACACCATGGCCACCTGGGCTGGCTAGGGTAGTCAGCTTTGGAGGGGATGAGTGAGTTGAGGTGACTGTCGGTGATAACACCCATGGTGTGCTGACCGTCTTAACAACTTGACCGCTTGTGACCGTCGGGGAGGCGTTGTCACCTGGAAACAGCCATCGATCAAGCTCACCAATGCTTACGACGGAGCTGGGTCGACTGGAACCTGGGCGAGGAGTGCCTCGGCTGGTACGCCCTTGAAGGAAGGTAGAGAAACCCGACAGCGATGGGGGAGGAAAGCTAGCAGAAAGCCAACAATCCTCCCAATTTTCTTTCCCACCCATATCCGAGAGCCTCTGCTCTGTTCTCTCAAAATGAGATTTCATTCCTTGAGCTTCCTTCAAAGTTCCTTTGCACTTCTCTCCAGAACTTGAAGACCTATCTGTATCCTTGCTATCAATGCTCTTCACCTCATCTCTTGAAGTTTTCACACTGCTAGGATTGTCTGACTTAGCATCCTCTGGATTTTTCTTCAGGCTTCCGAACTTTCCTCCAAATTTCATTTTCACACAGTGAGAGCTGTAATTGTGTTCCCTTGATACGCTCACTACGCTTGTTCTTCTTTTGGCTTCATCCAATGATACATCAAACTGCTCTCTTTCTTTTCCAAGTAATTCATTGTTTGTTTCTAGGTATGGGACTATAAGTCCATTATCTGGAAAACTGTTGCCTTTTCTTTGGTCTAGTTCTGAGAGAGAGTGACATCTAGGCATTTTCTTGCTTGCGTTCTTGGGATTATCGCCTGTAGGCCTCGAGTCTTGATCGGTTGTCTCCGATGGTTCTTTATCAAGGTCTATTGTGAGACGTCGTTTGACGTGCTTGAGGGCCGCTCGTCTCAGTTTGGAATCATTTCTAACATGTGGGGTTTCCTGTCAAATATAAGAAAATATACATGAAATCAATAAGTCATCAATATTTCTATCAAATAATTATAATTTCATGTTACTCTTCAATTTCTTGCGTTTGTGAAGTGGAGGAAAGGTTAATGGCTTAGTTGAGAGAGGTGGAGATCACAGTTTGTAATCCCACAGGCCATGAATTATCACTTCTCTAATTAGACCAAAGTACAGGGTGTGTTAAAAAATATGTATTTCTGGAGGGTATTTATCTCTAAGTTGGACTTTGCAATTATGGAAAGCCGTTAGCATCTATGAAAATAATTTGTAATAAAAAATATTTTTAAAAGGCATAAAATGTTGTTTTAAATCTTTCATATTTTCTATTATCAAGGAGATTTCATGTTCTTGATGTGGAATTTATAAAAAGTCTAAAATACTTGAATTTTTGCCTTTGAATATATTTAAGGCTACAAATGGCTCTCCATAATTTTTTAGTCCAACTTGGAGTTAAGTTTGACTTAGGATCTTTGTGAAACACCCCCAGCTCATATAGCAACACCACTGAAAGTAAAAATAAACACTAACATCACTAAACAGATGAACAAAACATATTAGTGTCTGGTAATCCAAAATAATCCCTTGGTTGGTGGCGTTGGTGCATTGAAACTGAACTTGGATCCATAGAGAAACTCAGAGAAATTCAGTTATATTACAGATGAATCAACAAATTCCACCTTTTGAAAATAAGTTCTCTAAAACCTTTTACTAAGCTGATTCATAATTAGTAACAAAGCTGGAAAAAACGACAATAGTGCTGTAACAATTATCAAACTCAAGGATCAATAATGCATGCAGTTGGTTGGAAAAAAATAATAAAACATAATGCGAACTAAATTTGAAACAATGAACAAGAATGAAATAACAAGAAACTAGAAGTTCCCAAGAAAATCTGGAACAGAACACTGATCTTCTCCATTGGACCAAGTACCTGGATCGGAGACCTGTTCACAATCCTACTCTTTTTATTCGGTGGGGAAAAAATGATAACAAATTGCGAACAAAACTTGAAACAATGAACAAGAAACTAGAAGTTCCAAAGAAAATCTGGAACAGAACATTGATCTTCTCTGTTGGACCAAGTACCTGAATCTGAGACCTGTTCACAATCCTACTCTTTTCATTTGGTGGAAAAAAGTTAAAACAAAATGCAAACAAAACTTGAAAGAATGAACAAGAAACTAAAAGTTCCCAAGAAAATCTGGAACAGAACACCGAACATCTCCGTTGGACCAAGTACCTGGATCTGATTCTGTCCACAATCCTACTCTTTTCATTTGGTGGGGAAAAAATGATAAAACAATACAAACAAAACTTGAAACAATGAACAATTAAATAACAAGAAACGAGAAGTTCCCAAGAAAATCTGGAACAGAACGTTGAACTCCTCCACTTGACAAAGTACCTGAATCAGAGACCTGTCCACAATCCTACTCTTTTCATCTTGTCCTGTCATAGAGAGAATGAAGGTTGAGTGGAAACTATAGAGTCTTACTCTTTAAAGGGTCTCGGTAACATTTTTGAAGGTTGATACAAAAACTGCCTAATTTTTGTATGATATGTTACTTATTATATTCCTCCTACTGTGCTAACCCTCCAACATGCAAACAAATCCTGAAAATATTCTCAAACCACAAAGATATTTATGGTTTCCTTTGAAGGCATCACTCTGCGACATCCTCTTACATTAAATTTTCCCAATCAATTTTGAATTTTCTTACCAATTTTTCATGAAAATAAGACATAAACCGGCGTTAAAAAAAAAAATTCAACACTTAAATGTATGGAATGGTATAAAGATCCAATTCATTGCTTTGTGACAATTTTCATTCACTTAAAATGTAATAATATAAGTGGGAAAATTAAGGAATTGATCAGATCAGTTTTTCCCAATTTGTTTCATTAATAATGGTCCGTTTTCTATCAAACTTTCAGATTATCTTTAATTGTACATCTAGCATTGAAGTCACTGCCTTAGCACCATTTACTCTCATCTAAACAATGTTACCAAGTCCCTTTTAATATATTTTAAAGATTTGCTGTGTAAATCTGGAGTATTCGAAAAAATAGTCTCAAGCTTATAGGGCCAAATTTCTTATCATTTTGATGATTCCAGAACCTTGAAGTACACACCAATACTCATATGCTAGATGATCAACCTTTTCTGAGTGATTCCACAACGTTTCTTTCACAATGCAGTCAGACTTGCTTTAGTGACCACCTGTATAGAAAAACTGTTTCCCTTAAAACTGCTTTCTCATTGAATTGTATTAGGAAAGGAACCTGTACATAAAGCCCAAATGCCTATTAAGACCCATTTTTCTTGGCTTTCTTGATCAATCTTTATATACAGGCTTTTCTTTACTATTATTACCTTGGCTGCAACAAGCATTTCAATGAATGAATACATACCAGGTACCCATTTACTACACAAGGGAGGAGAGAGGCATTCAAATGGTACTATACACCTGGATGGAGAGAGGCATCCAAATGGTACTTTTGTGTGCACTGTATCTTACCTGTTTCTACTTGGGCAGCATGGTGTTGTGGGTGGGGTGCTGGGGTGTGTGCTTGGGGGTGGGGTCCTTCAGGCATGGAGACAAGAGGGGTGGGGTGGGTGATGATCACGGTGGGATTCTTGGGATTCTTGGCAGGCTCAGAGACCGCTACCTTGACAGGGGGATTCTAAATAGAGGGAAAGAAGAAAAGCTTCAAATGAAAAGGATATTCTAAACATTCAAAGTATGATACACGCTAAGCTTCAGCATTTGCTGATGATTCACAGACTGAAGTGTGTTCTTCAATACATACATATTGATATTTATATAGCGCCTTTACATAAACATGCTCAAAGTGCTTTACATTAGTAAATAAAAACAGAATAATTATTTTGCTCTCCAACTGCATTACCGTACACTGTAAAATTAACAATTGCAAGTTCCTTTTTTGTGATTCCATGATTTAGGCCAAATATCAGCTTACATTCACTTAATATAAGATCTCATTCACAATCCCGACATGTTACTAAAACAATAAAACTATGTATGAAAATATTTTAAAACTGACATACATGCCAGCTATCATGCAAATGCATTCATGAATATCTGTATTATCAAGGCAGATCAATTAACAAAGCTAGCATACAGATGCAAAACACCAGGGGAGTGTTTCACAAAGACTAAGATCGACTTTAGGTTGGACTTAACTATGGCAGGCAATTCATGCCACTGGTTGCTCTCACCATTGGTCTCTCAATTATGATCTTTAGATAATAATTTTTCCTTCAATAAAGAACTATAAAAAAAAAAGTAAATTCTGTAGATTTGTGACCACAATTTGTACGTCCCGAGAGAAACCAATGCCAGGAATGGTTAGAGGAACTAGTGGCATGAAAGGCCTGCCATAGTTAACAAAGACTAAGTCGATCTTAGTCTTTGTGAAACACTCCCAGGGCATTGTTTCACAAAACCATCCTAAGGTCTAAGTTCGCCAACATCCTATTGAAACGGCTGTATAAAACTTAACAAGGGCTTCAATGGGATGTCAGTAAACTTGCATTTATGACGACTTCATGAAATGATGCCCAGCTCTAGAATTCTAAGGAAATTTACCTCAACATTTGTTTCTGACTTGACCTTCTTGATTATAGGATGGTATTCAAACTCCTTGTCCAGCGCAAGCTTGACCGCTCGCTTGCTGCGTCGTATGATGGTCACTAATTGGTTGGAGTTAGGAACTCCAGCACACTTGATTAGTGGTCCTCCCGACTCTGCCTGAGTTACTGAGCTGTAGACAAAGAATCAAGAGATGCTGGTTGTCAAACTTAAATCAAATTTGTTTATTAACAAGTTCCTACTTCCCTGTATCTCTCTCTCTCTCTCTCTCTCTCTCTTTCTCTTACACTATCTGTGCACCCAAATGATGGAAATGATTGGTCTTCAGACTTGATCAAATCGTTGTCTGGACACATTTTGACTTCACTCAACTTTCACTCTCTGTCCCTGTCCATAACATCTGTGTCATCAGGGGGGTGTTTCACAAAGATCCTAAGTTGGACTTGACAATTATGGAAAACCGTTAGCATCATTGAAAATATTTTGTAAAAGTTATTTGAAAAGGCATAAAATGTTTATTAAAATCATTCATATTTTCTATTATCCAGGAGATTTCATGTTTATGTGGAATTGAAGAAAAGACTAAAATACTTGAATTTTTGCTTTTGAATATATTTTATTTCAAGGTTACAAATGGCTCTCCATAATATTTAAGTCCAACTAGAGTTAAGTTTGACGTAGGATCTTTGTGAAACACCCCCATGTCCTGCTGAACCAGCCCTTACCTTGCAGTCTCATGATGAGTACCATTGGCGGCATTCCTAGAGCCGATATCATTGCCATGAGGAAGCTGAACCCAATTCTCTTGTCTCATCGGGAGTAGACGGATGACGGAGCCTGGGGTGGGTGATATCACAGCAGGGTGTGGCCCACCTACGAGGGCGCTGTTTGGTGCGACGATGGTTCGGTTTCCAGTCACGATGGTAGGGTTGCTGGGATCCGTTTGGTGGGAGGAGCTTGCTTGCACGGCCGCCATGGTATTGGCATTCAGCAAAGGGACAAATCTAAAAAGAAAAGAAAATCCAAGTCTACGTTTAATTTAATGATGATGAAGACATTGTGTGAAAAAGTGCTATGTAAATCAATAAAATTATACAAAGAAATGGAATATTGGATTTATAGTATTTTTTAGTAGTTTAATACCACCCTTGCTTCAGCTAGGCTGCTCTTACAGATTTCCTCCCAACTACTTTACAAATTTTACAACCAAAACTCACGTACATGAAAAGTTCAGGATATTTGCGGGTGGTTCAGAAATGCAAAATTAATTTATGCCACAAAATAGCTGTAACATAACTGACCCAGCAAGAAAAGTTCTTATGGCGTGAAAATGGGAGTCGTTCACAAATCACAAATGTTTCTGGCTTTACACGAAGTGTATCTAGTACATACAATTGGATCAGTTGAGAAGAGGCAACTGAAGATATACAGTCAAACCTGCTTTAGTGACCACCTGACTACAAAGACCACATTTTGAAAATGGTTTCTCATTGAAACATGTACTAAAGGAACGCATCTACAAAGGCCACCTGTCTACAAAGGCCACTTTGGGGGGTTTCCCTTGGGCGGTTGCTATTGACAGGTTTGACTGGATCACCTAAAGCCATTGAGGAAATGGCACTCACCTCTGGACATAGACCACTTTCTGTGCTTTACTCTTGGAAGCACTACTACATTCTCCTCCCTGGCCTCTGGGGCTGGCTACCCCCATCGTGGTCATCTGAGAGGTCTCTCTTGGGCTTAGCTGATACTGCAAGGACTCAGGGGTCAATGGTGCTGGGTCAGGGGTCAGGGGTGAAGGGTCAGATGGGGTCACAGCTGGGCCAGAGAACAACAGTCTGGACACGCAGGCAGGGTACTTGTTTCGCAGGGCTTGAAACTCCTGAATGAAATCTTCCTCTGTTAATGGAAAGAAGAAACAAAATATTGAGAAATAGGGAAGTTTATTAGCTTTTGCATCCAAATGCTCAAACTACAATACTCAAAACATATTACAACTGTAATATATTAATATAAAATATTTTGCAGAGAATGCTGGGTCTAATCAAGGAATAAATAAAATTTTAGCAAAATAAAATAATACAGAATGTAGAATAGGTAGATCAATGGATCAATAAAAGGAATGGAAGGCTACACCCTTCGATCTGTATGCCACAAAAAAAAATAACCTCAAAAACACTTTTAGCCGGCCTCCCATTACATATTCACAATGACACATGCACAGGCACCTATAGCTATATGATGAAATCACCTTTTTTGGTGCCGTTGCTAAGGGTCGAAGAAGAGCTATTCTCTTCATTCTCATCCTCATCCTCCTCCTCGTCCTTGACGGGACTGCTTGGGGCTGAGGAATACTTGCGGCACTCCTGCTCTGCCACCTCACAGATGGCGCTAAAGGATGCAGTCCGACTCCAGGTGAGGCGGGACTTGAGGGGCGTGGTCTTGCCGAGGGGTAGCTTGACCATCGCTGGGGTTTGTTTGTGGGTGGGGTTGGAAGACCAGGAATCAGAACTCACTGCATGAGGAGAAAAAAATGGCAAGATGGAATTGATAATTACAACAACGATAATAATAATAATAACAATATTTATGAAGAGCAACATATCCATCTCTAGAGATGCTCAAGGCACAAACAAATAATTGAAATTGATATTCAACCTACTTACTGTAAGATTAAAGAAATATTAAATGTTAACTTACATTAGATCACACAACTTCATGGTGCCATGGTACATACAATGTGGCACAGTGTGATTATTTGTTTTGCATGCATTGTATAAAAAGAACATAATAACGTTTAGGAGTGCTTAAAACGAGAAGTACCATAATGCTTACAAAATTACAGAATGTGAAGAATGTGAGAACAAACACAAATAGACTCATAAAATAGGTATATTGCCATCATTTTATATATCGATACACTGCTAGGTTAGGCAACACACTTGCCATTATATGAAAAGTTCAAAGTTCAAATGTTTATATCAATTGATAGTTGCCATATTAGCACATGACAGGAAATAACTGCAGCAGTTTCAAGTCTGACAGACATGAGTGCTATACAAGAACCAACCACAGTCAAACTTGGTTTAGTGACCACCTGTCTACAATGACCACATTTGTTGTTTCCCTTGAAAATGATTTCTCATTGAAACATGTACTAAAGGAACCTGTCTACAAAGACCACCTGCCTATAAAGACCACTTTTCTTGTCTCCCTTTGGTGATCTTTATAGACAGGTTTCACTGTATTACTATTATCATTGATACATACCAGGAGGGAGAGGGAAGTAGGAATGCTTCTGAGTTGGTTTAGTGCCTGTTGGAAGTTCACCTGTACAAAATAAGAAATAGATTATAAGAATAATTGAATAAAAGGAGTCACAATTTTAAGTGATTCACTCATCCAAACATCTGTTTCTCTTGTAAAGAACAAAGAAAAGTGTAATGATTCTCCAAGGAATCTAACGTGAAGTAAAGAAGTGCAAAAGAACAGAAAAAATATATGAGAATAGTTGACTAAAAGAGGTCACAATTCTTAAGTGATTCACTCATTGAAACATGTCTTTTTTTCTCTCTCTTGTATTAAAGAACATAGACAAATGTTATTTTTAATTCTCGCTACCCCAAATAGCGATTCTGCCGAGATCCGGGGAAAATCCTGAAAACGCGCATTGCATTATGGGATAGCTTTTCGACATTACAGCTTCCTGTGCAGGCGCTATATTACTAGGCGCGATAGCGCAAACGTAAAACGCCGTCGCCACACAACGTGTATGCACCGAATATGTCGTCTGCTCGGTCTTGTTTTTTTTTTCGCAAATATTTCAACGTTTATTTGAACATTTCATTCATTGTTTTTTGCGTCTTTTGACATCAGTGACGATGGTTTTCTTTTGTGAGGCTGCACAGTGCTGGGCTCATGATTCCAAGCGTAAGAACCCTGATTTTAGCGTGCGTGAAAACTCTGCACAGCGAACACAGGCGCTAGCGCCAGCGGGATGGGACTCTATACCGGAAGTTGTAGTGATGACCCGAGAGAGTGAAAATTACCTCGTCTCGCGAATTTCGAGATTTTCGTACCTATTTAGGGTAGCGAGAATTAGAGAATCTATCGTGAAATAATGTAGTGAAAATTACAGAAAAACTCAAAACAACAAAAAAAAATGGGTGTTACAAATACATTCATGCATATTCATGTATATGTTAATGTGTTTGGAGGTGGAATCTGTTTTGTGGAATGGATAATAAACCTCGACCATGGTATAGGTGCAGGTAATTTTTTTTCTTATTTTCTAGAGTTTCTTACGTTTGCGTGTGAGAGTCTGATTGATATAAAGAAATCAGAAAAAATAAAATCAGTATAAATTCATTCAGAATGTTCTTTGGGATGATGGTACTAAATGTACTCCAAAGTCAATTCAAATTTAATTCCTAATTTCAATCATGCCCCAAACATAACCCTAAATCTAACTTACTCCAGTCGACATGACTTGTATCTGGATCAGGTCCAATCCACCTGAACGCTGGCTTACGACTGCGTCCCTCAGACAGGTGAATCTTCTCAATCAGCTTCAGACTGGTCAAGATGTTTGCAATGTCATACAGCCTTCTTACTTTAGCTGTACAAGAAACAGATAATAAAGCAATGTTACCAGATCATTGCAAGAAACACCCCAGGCTAATTCAGGTAAAACAATCACATTTCCTGTTTACATGTTAATGAATGGCAACTATGCGCGACAATGATTATGCACGTATTCACCGAGCTCTGATTTTTTATACAAAATTGTGACAGGTACAATCACACCTTACGTCATCATAAGGAAAAAAAGCTGCAGTTTTGCAGAGTTTTTTCCAAACAAGGCCTTAGTTTTCTAATGATTGTCATGAATAACATTTCAAGAGATACATTGTGAATTACAATTATACTTTGTCAAATTTGTCAAAATATGGCATATCTTTCCAGAGCAATAACTCCACCAAGTTCCTGTTTTTGTTTCAAGAAAATAAAATCTTTGCAATTTCTTAGTCTTAACACTTGGCTTGACACTAACAGGTGCCCGAGACACATCATGCTACCCTAAAATCTTTTAGTGACAAACTAAGATCCATATATCTCACATAACTTACTCTTAAACTTTGCATTCTCTCCGATCTGATAATTCTGGTCTCCTTTCAGGATCCTGGCAGCTACGTCCAATGAGATGATTCGATCCTGAGGGATAAGACACAAACGATATCTCAGATTTTTGTAAAAGGGATGTTTTCTCGTACAAAGTAGCAAATTTTCACAGATAATAATGGGCGAAAATCAGTATGCCATTGAAGGGATCGGTATATCTCATACAAATACACTAAAACAAAATGCAAAAGAATCTGGAAGAGTATTGAGTAGGACACCTGCACAATTCTCAAAATCTAGTACGAAAAGCAGACAAGGGGCACAATTTTGGAGCTGTTTGTCTTGGAGTTTTTAAGCAATGGTGTTCTCATTTTTTCATGTTGGACATCCCGTACTACACTACATGTGTAGGTTAATCTAAGAAAGAGTTGATACATACCTTACACACTAAGAAGAGCATGATGAACTTCTGGCTCATCACTCCTAACGTCTTATCTCTCTTTGTATCTGAAATAAAGAAAATGAAAGGTACACTAATAAATAAAAATGATATTCTGGGAGGAAGATCTTACAAAGAATGTTACATGTGGAGGTCAGGTCCTTTTCTATAGGACATCTTGTATTAAACAGTACCACTACCGGTAATCATAGTTTCTTCTCACATTAAAAAATGTCTACAGTTAACTCTGCATATAAATTCAAAGTCGCACAAGTTGAATCAAATTTTTTGCTAAAATACAGTATATGCAAAACATGGGTTATTAACACTTCTTAAATCAAATATTGAATAAGTGGAACAGATTCAAACTTAAGCAGAGTTTACTATTTCTTGAGTCATTTGTGTCACTTAAACCAGTTAAGGTAAATGGGTACCTGGCAGGATTTAATTCCTTGTAATGCTGGAGTGACATTATGACAGCCATGCTAAAGCCAGAGTAATACTTATGTCTTATGGGGTGCCAGGAGTGTCAAGTGTGACGTACATGTAAATGAGCACTATACGAGGACCCACTATTTAGTAATGTACTTAAAGCATATTTTTCAATGGACTTGTACTTTATACTTTGTACTCATAAACAAAATCTCACCATCTTCCCAGTTCTCTCTCCCATTTTTCCTCATCTCCGTCTCCACCGGAGACTTCAAGAAGTTGCTGATATCCTGAAGAGGTTGCCTAGCAACGTCCTGGAGTGGTTGCTTAGCAACGTCTCCCATCGTCCTGTCCGGTCCGTATACCGGTGATTTGCTTTCATCCATCGATAAACTCCCGTCTTCTAATCGACTGTGAAGGAGAGCTAGCTGCTCAGCAAACTTCTGTCTCTGACCTAGGCACTGTACCAAAGAAACAAAATACACAGGAACGGTGAGCCATTTAGCTAGACTAGAAAGCTTGTTAATAGCATAGAGCTATGGTAATATATAATATACCAATAAAATCCTTCAATAGAACTGTGAGAAAATCACACTCATCTTAAAGTCATTAACAATGTTTCTGGATTTACAAATCAGATATGCATGGTACTATTTTTTATCAGTGTTTGTGATATGGTGTAATATTGAGGCCCTAAAAAAATTGCACTTCAAACACAGTCCAAACACCCTCGGCTATCGCCTCGGGCGTGTTAAACTGTTCCAAAGGTACCTCGTGTGGGTAATTCTTACTAATACCCTCACTGCTGTGTATTATCTGTATACTAAACAAGCATTGTTCCTATCCGTACCTTGAGTTTTGCTAGTGTCCTGTAGAGGTGTGTCCTGCCATGCCACAGGTATCTGTTCTTAGCTCTCCGGCTGACCATCTCAACACTCTCAAGGACGTTCACAATGTCATAGATTCTTCTTCTCTCAACGTCTGGAAGAAAATAAAACAACTCATCATGTTTGACTGAATCTTTAACAAAACTTTAAAGAAGAATCTTAACAAAAAGCTGTCCAAGAAACATATTTGGAATACATACATAGTCGCAAAGCCATGCAATTTAATAACTTGACTGGAAATGCAAAAGTATTGGTGCAAGCCCCGGCAATAATAATACTGTGTGAGCTCTGGTCAATAATGGTAAAGCATTTATAAGAAACAGGGTTCTACATGTAAATTTATCTTGACTGTGATTGACTTCCCATACGGCCTCGCGGTTTCAAATACCTCTGACTACATTTGAGATCATCTAGCCTAGTAGAACTGATTTTACTTTAATACATATCTTACACATATTAATTTGGATGCTGCTTCTGAACATCCACAATCATATCTTATCAATTAAAGAGTTTAGAGCTTTAGTCTTTAAGTATTCCAATTACTGTTAGAACTGCAAATGCTATCAAAAGTGTAATATTAAGAGAAACTGTGATCTAACAACACGGTACCCCCCCCCCCCCCCCCCCCATCATTTAAACAAAAAACTCATTCGTTCAAAGCGGCTTTCCAGTAGATTTACTTTCACGTTGTTGATGTTCACTTTTTGGTGTATTTTCGTGTACTTGTAGTTTTTCTTCTCCATTGCGTCTCGAACACATTACCGGTAGTCATGTGGAGTTGGCGCATTACAAATACTCTATATTATTATTATTATTAAAAATAAGAGGCTTTAATATCAACCCAATGACTACTCAATTCTCTAATATGAATGCAGGGACCCCCTGGTTTCTTTAGGAAAAGGGCTATGCCCTGGTTCATTACTTACTCAAATCTTTAGAGATCTGATCCAGGGAAATATCCATGGCCTTTCCATCTTTCGGGTAATCAGGATATTTTGTCAAGAATCTGAAAGGAAAAATTGAGCAAGCGTGACATGAAATTTCATCAAAATCATACATCACGATCATATCTATTCAGAGTGCAATGAGGCACTAATTGAGTCCAAAAACCAGAAACATAGAGAGCAAGAAGTATACTGTTTTAATACACCAACAGCTGTCAATTGAGATCAAATTAATATATTTTTTACATCAAATTAATAAAAGATTTGTCATTTTGACGAATGCTTTGATAAAAACATGATCCAAGATGGCCTGATACACTGTATTCACTTTACAAATTTTAAAAAAAAATTTGAATTAATAAATTTCTAGCTCTTTATATTTGATTATCATCTAAGCAAATAACTTTCATGCCCTACATGTACTTTGATCATAAAACAAAGTATATACTTGGAATTGGAGATCACTACAATCACACTTACTTTTGACAAAGTAATCCGAGTGACTTGGCTTTTCTGTTGTTTTTCTCTCCTTCTTCTGCTCCGTTTTCATCTGAAGGTGACAAAAGGAATGATGTTTCATTTCCAGATGATGAGTTCATAGTGGAGGTGTCAAGGTTGGAGGATGACACTGTTCCTTGGGGTCTAGGTAATACTGTCCCTTGTGACGCTGCTTCGACCATGTCATCAAACAATCTCGCTTTTTTCTTTTTGTTCTCCATGTTTCTGATCTCCGGACTCATTGCACTAAGCAGCATCTTGAGGTTCGCCGTAGGGGTCAAGGGGTCATCGTTGCGTACCAGATTTGTGTCCTGTAGTTTTGTTGGGGTAACAGGTTGCGCAGGACCACCTACATGTAGCTGCTGAGTTCTTAAAGATACCCCACGATTCATGGATGAGTTCTTCAGGTTAAAGCTAAGGTCACACGACGAGAAGCCCCCGCTTGAACTGAGGTCCGCACTGAACCCTGATGAATTTGGGGTAAAACCAGAGTCGTTTGTAAGATTTGAGGAATCCATGTGATTCCAGCTTCCTTCTGTCCTCTGTTTAAGATTCATATGGGGTAGGTACTCGACACTGACATTGGGGCTACTTGATTTGGATTCTCGTCCATCCCTGCTATCGCTTGTCTCCAACATGGAAGAGAAAGGAATTTGTATGCTGCCCCCATACTCCATAGATTCATCATCACTCTCACTGTCATGGTCCAGGGGTTGGAAGTGATTTGGCAACAACATGCCTGTCATAGTGGAAGCTAGCTCAGCCATATTTACTTCAGAATGGTATCAAACTTCTGCAAGAGAATGAAACAGAATAAAGAGAATATTGTAAATACTTTTAAAGTAGACTCTATAGAACCCTGTCCCTACTAAATGGAACCATGAACAGTGAACACCCTGAGGGTATTGTGTTAGAAATATCACTCGGTTCATTTTATAGATGGAACCTTATCTTTAAAGTTTGTTAGGATTTTTTTTAGGTTATGGGTGTCTGATCGCGCTCTCAGTTTTGTGTGCTAAAATCCATCCCATAGAGATTGCACACATATATGCAGTCCATGTGCAATGTGCGCTCATGTTGAATTACCGGTACCAAAATGAGATTTAAACCAATACTGCTCATTATCCTGAAGGTGATACTCAATAAGTGAGGTGTCATGAAAGAGCAGGTTTTTCTCCATATTCCCCAAAGGGGCCGGCTTACCCCAAAAATTCTAAAAAATATCTTGATCAAAACAGCGATTTAAACATGGTTTCCATAGTAACTCGGAGATTTACCATTTTCACGAAGTGAGCCCCTGAGGGATAAGTTGGGCCAGCTGTAAGGAATATATCCATGCGCTTATTTTCTCTCTAGTCCCAAGGGATCATGAGCATTTACTAAGATTTAGGTCTACAGTTTGAAAATACCCTTCCTTAATCCACGCTTTGCATATCGTGCTGTGCAGCATTTACGCAAAAATTATAACTCGGCATGTAGCTAGATCTAGACAGTAGACTAGATCTAGATCTACCACTTTTTTGTCCATTCTGGTCTCTGGACAAAATTTGGATAGAGTCTAGACCCATATTTGAATAGGCTATGCCTAGATTGGGGGGGGGGGGCCTGTATCTCAACACTTTCAGTGAGCCTTGAACTTTTAAATGTGTTCTTCTGAGTAGAGTAGTTGATTTTTTTCAATTATCCAACCATGATGATGTGAAAAATAATCCAAAAAAGGAAAATTGAAAAAACAATTGAAAAAACACTGGAAAAAAGTCTGAAAAAGTGAATGAAAATGGTGCTGTGGTGGCTTATTTCACAAGAAGAATGGTCAACAAATTTGCAGTAGACCTAGACTAGAGGTCTAGAGATCTATATGACACTGTTAATTCCAAATTGAAAAAGAAAAAAGAAAGAGTCTTGTGTAGCCGAGTCAGAGAGCTCGAACGAGTCAGGGTCTAGAACTAGCTTTCTGTCTGGCGGCTGGCTGGCGCGGCAGCCGGCGTCAATGCGACCCAGCAGCCGTTCAGAAAGCGCGCGCCCGATAACCGGCGACACAACATTAACAATCACCGCCCATTAATTGCAATTTTGCATGCACAAGCTTTCATTTGATAACAGAACAGTTGTGTGCCTTCCCTTTGGGCATCGATAAAGAGACCATCCATTTTGTAATGTTAATAAATCTTTTACAAATATAAAGAATTAAGATCAAAGAATATTTTTAAGTCGACAATCTCTCGATAAATAAATTCGCTGCAAAATTTATTGGCGCGCCCATTTGTCTAGGCAGAACGGAAGTCAATTTACTACTGCAAAATGTCATCTAAAACATCAACAATGTTGCAATTTTTTCAGTTATCTTTGAAAATCATTCATCTCTAATATGGTTTAAGGAGCAATACATAAATAACATGAAAAACATTTCCTCACATGCTGTAATCTTAAAAATGCACCAAAAATAAAATCAAACGAGTTCGACCTTTTCCCAATGCACACACACAGCAAACGACACGTCGACAAACTCAAACTGCATTCACTCCATTATATTCAGATTCTGATGAAAACTCCAAATTTCCAAATCAACAAATCGTCTCACAATGTCTCCAACATTTCCTTTCAAAATACAATTTTTTTATAGATACACTCAAGCATTATTTACCTGTGATTCTAAGGTATTTTTATCTCCCTTCTTCTGATTGTCTATGGCTTTGCAAATCGTCGCATCGTCGGCGGCGGCTTTACATTACGTTATCGTTCGATATCGGGGCGCGATCGCAACGCTACTTTTTTCAGTTCAATTTTGGCGCGGCATAATGAACACAAACGGAGCCCGCCTCTTTTTCACTGCTTCCCGTCAAGACCACCTGTTTGATACACATTCGTATGTACGGCGTTCTTGTAGCTGTGCATCTTCAAAAATGAAGAGCTTGAGACCAAAACAACTTATGAATGAAGGTAGAGGCGTGGCGTAGTATTGAAATTAGGTGACGTCAAGAAATACTACTTTGATGACAATCACGTGTACCTTTTCTTCTCAGTGCATGCAGTCAATGAATCAGGTGTTGTATAATATAAATAGACTGAAAGGCGCGCGCTTTGTGAAACGGGCAAAAGTTTGGGCAAGAGACGGGTATTTTGGTCTGTGGTCACCGGCTTAATTCAGGGGCGGTTCCCCATGGCTGGAGGGTAGCGGTATAGTCACGGGGCCGGGTCTGGGTCTGTTGTTTAATTGTCAGATATATTTTTGGGGGTTAATTCAACCCCATCCCCCCCCCCTCCCCCCCCAAAAAAAGTAATTATCCAGCAAAATCATCACTATTTATTTGGGGGGGAATTGGACCCTAACTTATCATAGTCTATACTGATTGAAATCGTTCCTTAAAGGGGGGGGGGGGGGTAAAGGATTATGTATTCTTGTCTCCACTAGAGGAAATGTGTTTTCCACCAGCATTTACAATGTATACCAAGCAATTTGAAGCACAAAGAAATACAACAGAAAACAATACAAATACAAAATGAGTAGAATAGATTACACAATATATAATAAGGATGTGGGAAAATATTTATATATTATAAGTTAAACAAAATATTCCCTCTGGATCAGGAATTAACTGGTAAATGTTCCCAATTACATTACCCCTAATATCATAATCACCAACATTATCATTCTCATCTTCCCCGTAATCACCCAGGACCAAAATCCAGTTGAAACCAATTGGAGCAAAACCAATTGAAACCAGTTGCCAACTGGTTTCAATAGGGAAATTGGAACAACTGGTTCCAATTGAAACCAGTTGAAACCAATTGCCAACTGGTTCCAATTGAAACCAGTTGAAACCAATTGCCAACTGGATCCAGTTGCCTATTTGGTTTCAACTGGAACCAGTTGTTCCAATTTCCCTATTGAAACCAGTTGGCTTCAACTGGTTTCAACTGGTTTCAATTGGTTTCAATTGGATCCAATTGAAACTTACAGTAATTGGCATAAACTTAATTAGTTATAAGTTAATTAGCTCTTGCACTAATTATTGCTCATGTCAACACAGAAACATTGTTATATGTGTCTACATTAAGTACAATGTAAAGGGCATTATAATATGCAGACCATATAATATACTTAACAAGGAAGGCATTAATTGCCATTATATATGTTTGTAATTGATGTATTTTGTACATGGTTAGTGTTTTACTCATCAACTTTTAATCTGTGTAATTACAAAAATATGTTACTAATGAACATGCTTATCATTGCTAATTAATCTTTATATTTATCTAAAAACAAATGCATTACTTGCAAATGAAAATTAATTAATAAGTACATTGTAAATCAAAATAAATTACATAAAACATTGATCTGCACACAAGCATATAATATGCAAATTAACTGGTTTCAATTGGATCCAGTTGGGTAACTGGAAATATTTCCAATTGGAACCAATTGGGTAACTGGAAATGAATTCTAACTGGAACCAGTTGGGTAACTGGAAATTATTTCTAACTGGAAATGAATGCTAACTGGAACCAGTTGGGTAACTGGAAATGAATTCTAACTGGAACCAGTTGGGTAACTGGAAATAAATTCTAACTGGAACCAGTTGGGTATTAAACTGGAAATGACTTCTAACTGGAACCAGTTGGGTAACTGAAAATGAGTGCTAACTGGAACCAGTTGGGTTACTGGAAATGAATTCTAACTGGAACCAGTTGGGTAACTGGAAATGAATTCTAACTGGAACCAGTTGGGTAACTGGAAATGACTTCTAACTGGAAATGAATGCTAACTGGAACCAGTTGGGTAACTGGAAATGACTTCTAACTGGAACCAATTGGGTAATTGGAAATGAATTCTAACTGGAACCAGTTGGGTAACTGGAAATGACTTCTTACTGGAAATGAATGTTAACTGGAACCATGCAGTTGGGTAACTGGAAATGAATTCTAATGGAACCAATTGAGTAACAGGAAAATCATCTTACTGTTTCCAGTTGAACTTCTAACTGGAACCAGTTGGGTAACTGGAAATGACTTCTAACTGGAACCAATTGAGTAACTGGAAAAATTACCTTACTGGTTCCAGTTGCACTTCTTATTGGTTTGAACTGGAAATGAGTACCCATAACAATATTTTCCAGTTCGGCAATTGGTTTCAACTGGAAATTTTCTATTCCAATTGAAACCAATTGAAACCAATTGAAACCAGTTGAAACCAATTGAAACCAGTTGGAGATTTCAACTGGTTTCAATTGGATTTTGGTCCTGGGCATCACCATCATTATCACCATCATTACCACCACCACCATCATCATCATCATCATCATCATCATCATCAATACCATCATCACCACTACCATTATCATCACCATCACTACCATCACCATAATTACCACCACCACCACCACAACCATCTCGACTTTGATCATCATTACCATCATTGCAACCTTGATTCTTACAAAGAAATATTTGACACAATTGAGCAACTACAGGAAACCAATGTATGCTAATATAGATTTCTTTAAAAATGTATCATCTATTTCTGTACAATATCAATTTGTTGTATAAATATCCAACATTTGATGGAAATATTTTACTAGAAATCATAGGCACTCAGCTCTGATTCGAGGCCTAATACCATCTACTGGCATCAGCATTGCAAATTAAGAATATCAATTGGGAAAACCCTGCTAAATATACAAACAAATATAATGGCTAGTACTACATTTTACTCACTTAGACTGTATGTTGATAACAATTAAAGAATCATAAATTGTTTAAGTATAATCATGAGCTACATATGATCTGCAACTGAGCGACAATTAAACTACTCTTTTCATCATAATGTTCTTTGTAAGCTTCACTAACAAAATGTTGATCAGGACGACCAAACAGCTTGCCAAAGGTTTCTCTGCATACATGTAGCAACAATGTCTTAAATGCATATTACATTATGAACCTAAGCTACATACTCTAAGAGATATATGATTTCAGGCCAGACTTTTCTCGAGGAAATATCGATGAAACAGAGCACAATCTATATCATAAAATTACCAAGATGCAGTGAAACCTGTATATATAAGACCACTCAAGGGAGACAAGGTCTTTAGAGGCAAGTGGTATTAATGTGCAGGTCCTTTTAGTACACATTTCAATGAGAAACACTCTTCTAAGTCAGCCAGAATCTAGCAGCGCTAGAAATATCTTAGAACCCTGAAAACACAAGAAAATCTTTTCTCTATGGACATTCATACCACTTATTACATCTTTAAGTATTCATACAAATAAGAAATTAATTTTATCCTAGGTATTGGAAGGCATCATTCTAGTTCAACATAAACAAATTTTCACCCCAAAATCAAAGTATACATGTAGCACATTGAGCTCTTAGTGCATGTCCAATTCTGTATCCAAATTTTAAAAAATGAAAACATGTTTGAAATAATCAGTTAAGTATGTGAAAAAGTGGGTAGAAAATACATACACAGTGTAATTCTTTTTAAGTATTTAAAACAAGGATACAAATTTTCATAATCAGTATACTTCTTCTTAATCGTCAACATGACATGAAAATGAAAATTAATTTTCGAAGGATATACCAGTATAATGTACCAAGTAAAGGGTTATACAACAATCCTAAATATAAGCAAGACTGGCTCAAATCATTTAATTAAAGGAATTTTATTACCTAAGTAGAACTTTGATTCAGCATTTCACCTACAACGCTAGCAAATAATATACACAAATTGAATGAAGGAAAAGAAATCATGGGTATTGCCATAAAAGATTACAGTGTTTGAATTTTGGATAATATTTAAAACCATGAAGATAAGAAAGTTTTCATTGTGTAAATAGAGACCGTGCAGCAAATTAGAAACAGCCTTTGACAATTTTATAAAGTAAATCTGTTGCTAGAAATTATTTTCATGGGTTCATTACCTTTATATCTATTAAATTCATGATTTATTACATTCAGTGACAGGAAATCCTTTTAAAGTATCATGCAGTTATAGAGATTCTTCCGGTCTATCATAACTGGAAACATTGAAACAGTGAAGAAGAGCTAAAGTAAACACTTTTTTTACAATACATGTTGATAAAATAAAACAATTACAGTATATTTCAAGAAGCACAATTCCATTCTCATTACAAACAAGTATGAAAATGCCAAAAATAAATATCTGAGCCCCGTCTAATGAAGAGTTGCGATTGATTTGGATCAAACCCAAGTTTGCAAACTAATATCTTTTACGTACATAGTTAGGATAGATATCAATCTGAAATAAGTTATGATTATTTAATATCAACTCTTTGAAAGACAGGGCCCAGGATATAAAATTACAAACAAAAAAACATTCCCACTTACTACATTTAGCAAAATAATCAAACTATTTGTCTTTTATATTCACAATAAACAATGTAATAATTCTATGCCTCAAGCTCTCAAAATTGCACAACAGAATTCAGATGAAGATAAAGAAGAAGATGAAATGAACATATCATATGTAGGAGCCATATCCAGATATACAATTCAATTTAATGGCAAGTTACATCAACGCTAAATCTTTTTCCAGTAATTCTTGGTCAATAAAGAAATAATTATCTAATAATTAGAAAAATTAGCCTCTTCAAACGGAGTCACTAAACAATGAAATTTGATAGTCTTTACAATACGCAAATATAATCTAACTCCTGCTTTCTCTTTGCTGAGACAACATAATGACATTCAAATTTGGAGCATCAAAGCCTTAAAGACTTAACAAAGAGAAAATCATCAGTTTGGAGCCTGAACTCATATACAGTTTACATAACATGTTTTGCTCTTGGTGTTAGGGATTCCATGTGGTTATATTATATTCACCAAATGAGCTTCAAATATCACTTTGTAGAAGTGATATATATTCTTAATACATACTCAGTGAACAATTAAATGTCTTGTTGAATAGTGTTAACCTAAAAAGCCACACACAATGTTGAATTACCTGATGAAATTAGATCTCATATTCGTTTGGCAGTAAATGGCTAATGAAAATGACTCTTTCTATTGACAAAACAATTGACTCAAATGCAGGTTTAAATCATACAGACCCTTTGTTGACCACACGATGCAAAGCATCTTCTATAAAGGTTCGTTGAGATGTGGCGCGGTAAAAAGTTGCAAAAAAGCAGCCACTTTTTTGTTAACGTGTAAAATGAACGGCTACAGCGCACAACAAAAGACTTGTGTGTAATCACTGAGATAGAGAAATTGTTTCACTTTTTACATCATCACAAAAAAAACACCCTGGTTTTGCAATGTCATAAACATCTGAACGACCCTTTACAGCGTCTATAAAATCAAAGAACGTTTGTTGAAGTAACTTGGTTATACATGAGAACAAGACAGATATTTTGCTTGTTTAACCATTAATACCATAAGTAAAAGGCAAATTAAATTTTAGCGATTGGAAGGTAAAAAATTAAAACAGAAATTTATTGGAAAGTACATATATGTGGCAATCTGTATTAGATTTAAAAGATACATACAAGTAGGTACTTTAAAGAATTTTAAAATGTGAACATTTAATTAAACTTAAAAGGGGAAATAAATACAGAAGTTACAAACAGTAATTATATTCTAACATGGCATTTTCAACAACTGAACAGAGCAATGTTGCTAAATTGTGTAGTATCAAGTGTAGCACCCTGAACGTCCACTGTACAATTCACTTGGGGGACCATTATCCGGTAGCTTCAGAAGAGCAACAAATTCTACGTCGGTCACACAGCCAAAGTGACTCCACACCGACTCCAAACCAACATAGTTTAACAATAAGAGATCATGCAATGTTTTGTTTTGTCTGTTGTCATTCTGATGTCGGTATCATAGGTGTGACTGAGGGATCACAATTTTCACGTTCATGACAGCAATCTTCATGTATATTCCTGTATGTCAATGAACTTTGAGTTGAAAGTGAATGTCCATGTCCCTTGTCTATTGTAGTATATCACCTAGGACGGCAGCCTGACCTCTAGGTGACCCTCGACCAGGTGTAGCGCCCTCTCTCACCGGTACAGGAGTGAATGCAGGCATGCTCGGGAAGGAATGGGCGGCGGCTCCTAGGGGATTTCCCGCTGACACCCCAGCCGAGGCTATCACTGGCTGTAATGCTCCAATGGGCGTGGCTGGCTGTCCGGTAGCCTTGAGGAAGGGGTGGGCGGCCCCTGGGCCTTTAGGTGTACCTACCCCACTCCCCACGGGGGAGCCTGGCTGGATGAAGGGGGATTGCTGAGGTACAGGAGCGGAGAATGGATTAAAAGCAGGATGATGGTGTCTGTCCTGGCTCATCTCATCTACTGGCAGACGAGGGCTGCGCTTCGGTGTCGACTCGGACTCCAGAAACTGAACGAATTGCTGACTGAAAGACTGGAAGAAGAATACACAAAGGAAAACATAATATTAATTCCATTGCAAAGTAAAATAGTAAATCATCTTACAAAGTGTTCATGAAAAGTCACAGAAATTGCACAGAAATATTTCATAGCACGAATTGGATATTGTCAAGGAAAATTATCTGGCGCCTTCATCTCTGAAAAGATAATTCTTCTTTTCTGATAATCATATCTAAGGCAAATAATTATTAACATAGCTAGGTAATTTGAAAAAGCATAGATAGTGTATCGGTATCTAAGGGATAAACAGCGAGGGATAGAGACAATGAGAAAGAGACTGAGTACATGAGAGAGAGGAAGAGAGGAGTGAGAAAGGGAGAGAGAAGTGAGAGAGAGAGAGAGAGAGAGAGAGAGAGAGAGAGAGAGTGAGTTAAGAGATAGAGAAAACTTTGAGTAGGGGAGGTGAACTGCCTGATATAAAAAGATACTTACTACATTAGCTTTGGTAGGTGTAGCAGGGGGAGTGGGGTGAGGAGAGCGATTGAAGAAACCACTTAACCATCCACCAGCTCCAGAACTAAGACCAGCCTGAAAAAAAATTACCAAATACATCATTTCATCAATGATAAAGCTCAGCCTGATACATGTACATGTATATCATCCCAGCAACATTTAATCATCAACTTTATGATCATCATCACTACCACCACCATCACCATCACCACCACCATCATCCATTATCATCACCATCACCACAACCACCATCATCATCATCATCATCATCATCATCACCACCATCATCATCATCATCATCATCACCACCATTATCATCATCATCACCACCACTATTATCATCACCATCACTACCACCATCTCTATCATCATCACCACCACCACAACCATCATCATCATCATCATCACTACCTATATCATCATCATCATCATCATCATTATTATCATCATCATCATCATTATCACCATCATCATCACCACCATTATCATCACTACTTGGCATGGTACCTGGCACAAATTAATTCCTTGAAATACTGGAGCGCTGTAATGGCAGCTAGGCTAAAGCGGAAGTAATAATAAATGCGCCTCGGAATAGAATTTCTAGATAGATGGCGCTATAGAAATGCCTAATACTCTTATTATTATTATTACCATCATCACCATCATCATCATCACCGTCAACATCACCACCCCCTTCATCATCACCATTATCATCACCACCACTACCATTATCATCATCATCACCACCACTACCATCACCACCACCACCACCACCACCATCATCATCATCATCATCATCTCAATGACAACCTTCACTTCATCATCATCACCACCGTCATCACCTCCATTGTCACCATCATCATCACTACCACCATACCATCATCATTATTATCTGTACCACTACTACCACCACCACCACCACCGCCACCACCACCATCATCATCATCATTATCACCTCCACTGTCACCATCATCATCACCATCACCACTATCATCCATTATCAACATCACCACCATCATCATCACCACCACCACCACCACCACAACAACCACCACCACCACCACAACAACCACCACCACCATCACAACCACCACCATCATCATCACCACCACCACCACCACCATTTAATTTGTCTACCCACCTTGTGCATATCTTCTGGTGAGAAGTTGAGAACATTAGTAATCACTTTCATCATCTCTTGTTTCTTGGGCTGAGGTGCTGACAGGTAGTTCATGAATAGATTCTTCACTAGAGGCCTAGGAGAAAGAAAAATGCAATGAATTATATAACTTATTTAGATATTTATTAATTTCATCCACAATGTGCTTCCCACCAGCTTTACAATAATACAAGAAACAGAGTACAATTATATGAAACATGCAAACAATTTAACAAACAATGTAGAAACAGAACAAATCTTGTCCTTTCGCATAAATAATTTTCAAGACATCCAAAATTTGATTAGATGATTAAAATATCTCTCTACTGCTTTTAATGGGCTATTAAATATAATCATCATTGATGTATTAAGCTTTATGAGAACAAATTATGATTTCAAATGATTATGATCATTATTGCTAGTGTTATTATTATTTTCAGCGCAATCATTATTCATCAAAATAGATAGATGACTGCAGTTATGTCATTGTGGTCTTATTGAAATTATATTTCCATGTATGTATACTAACAATAGCGGGTAAATGAAATGCTATCGCATATTATCTCTTTACGAAGAAGAATAAAAATGAAAAGGGGAAATATTATGGTTTCATGTTCTTAACTTGGAAGCTGTCCAATGAAACTGTGATATAAAATATAACTGTATTATTTTGGAAACCTTATTGAGGCATGTACAAAGCATGCATGTATACATGTATGTTATTATTCACTAGACTTACTGGTCAACCTTGGTCTCGCTGCTGCTAGACACCTCATCAAATCTCCGCTGAAACTCTTCCAATATTTCTTCCTTCTTGTACACTGAAATTAGGAAAAATATGAATAATCTTTAATTTCAAAACTATGGTCTCATAGCTGCTATGGCTCTACACCTCATCAAATCTCCGCTAAAACTCTTCCAATATTTCTTCCTTCTTGTACACTGAAATTAGCAAAATGGCAATAATCTTATTATTTCAGAACCATGGTCTCACTGCATGCTATGGCTAGACATCCCATCAAATCCCTGCTGAAATTCTGCAAAGAGCTTCTGCCCTTGCAACTAACAAGTATTTCCCAAGCTTGAGCAATCTTTCTCCAACTCTCTGCCTATTATTTTACCTCCTATCTGTATTCTCTTGCTCTTACATAATTTCTTTTCCACCCTACCTCTGTCTCCCATACTCCCCCTTTCCTCTGTCTCCAAAACTCAACCCCCCCCCCCCCCCCCGAAAAAAAATGAAAATGAAAATAAAAAGATTGATACATGTAGTTACACAAGATATCTAATGCCTCGATGTAGGTGATAATTTCAACAAATATACACGTACTGTATCTTCAAAGATCTAAATGTTTGGATACCATAAATCACCACAGAAAATAGCCTGCCGAACCCAGCTTTTCGTATTTACATGTACATCTACATAGACTTGCACCAACAGTCTGCAAAGTGCACTTGGTATAGGACAAAGAAGGAAGTGTGAGCTTTGGTTAGATAAGGGGATTAATATGCACCTAATCCCTATTGTAATAGAGTTCATTACCCAACAATAGATTGCTCCTGTGGTTAATTACATAATGCTTGCCATACCCAAGTTCATATCAATGCTGTAATCCACCTTTTTATCACTGTCATTTCTTTGTTTGCCTCTCTGCCTAGTGGCTAGTCACTCCTTTCCCACACATGCAATTTTGCACAAAATAATAGGCACCTAGTGACAAAAGGATTGCTTTGTGCAATACAATGGCTTGCAACATTACCCATTTCTGGTCTTTATTAGCTCCATGACAACCCTTTTAAGGCTGGAAATCTTGAAGTGTTTGGTTTATCTATCCCATTATAAATTCAATGTGGCAGAGGGAGATGATTTGGCATAAAGAGTTAATAACTTGAATGGACAGGAAACTCAGTAAATTGCCACCCTAAACTTTGATCTAAAGTTACATTACAATAGAGCCTACAGGCCTTGAACTATTGCATATGTGGATGCACAATGCAAACATTGCCTTTTGGTTTGTGAATAATAATAATGATGTCAGTAATAATTATACTACTAAAAAGGGTAATTGATGATGATAATAATAATAATAATTAATGTATTTATTATCATTTTAAGATTTACTATGGAATAATCATATCAAATAATTCGCTTCATATTTTGTAAAATAGAATCTGATATTATCTCTATTACTACCCTATATACATTGGCTTACTCATTTATTACCTCATTCATTATGTATGTTTATCATATGTGTATGTTTATCACTGTCCTGTTATATTTTATTTATATATTTGTATTGTATTACTTTGTAACCAGTGGAAACCATAATAAATTATTATACTTATACTTACTTTCAGCTCTGAGTCTTTCCATAGCTTCTTCTTTCTTATCTAGTTGTTCACTCAGACGTGATGCTATGTCTAATGATTCCTGGGCAGATGACAATCTCTCCTGGAAAAATACAAAACACGTTTATTCAAAACATCAAATGAAAATTGTTGTTTCCTATTCATTAGATAACTGGTCACTCAATCTTTTTCAAAAGTATCTTCTTTTGTAATCAATTACAGTGGAAACTCATTGTAACAAGGTCCTTGGTACCATGGAAATTACTTTGCTAAATACAGTCAAACATGCTTTAGTGACCACCTGTCTACAAAGGCCACATTTGTTGTTTCTCTTGAAAATGGTTTCTCATTGAAACATGTTTGATTGAAGGATTTTATTGATAATTATCCATTCTCGCAGTCCAAAGACTGAATTGCAATGGTAACAAAAGTTTACAATGTATATACATGATAAAAGCAATTATACAATAATATATTAAAACAGTCTAGGCAATCAACATTGAAATACAAATAAAAGTGATCAAATGACAATTATTATGGCAACTATCATTAATTTCAATTAATAAGCATGAAATTCTTAACTGAAACATCCTAAAAATATACTATTGAAATTAATCATTAAAACCATTACTATTACGAATATGGCATGCCGAAGGGTTGATTTTTTTGTCATTGGTAAAACATATTGGAAATCTTGAAATTGGATTTCATGATGGATTAAGAAATAAAGTGAATTACATTGCAAATTCGCGAAGAATATTGAAATTTGTTGATAATAAAAAGATTAAAATAAACATATTGCACTGGCTAAATACTAGGTGTTCGGTGTGAATTCATTAATATTCAAGTATTACTCGTTCTTTAAAATTCAATGCTATTACTATACATTTTAAATCACAATTGAATATGAAATAATTGAAAAAATTGATTTAAAAATTCAATGATTAAATACCTATTGGCTAAGTACTAGGTGTTCGGTGTTAATTCATTAATATTCAAGTATTACTCGTTCTTTAAAATTCAATGCTATTAATATACATTTTAAATCACAATTAGATATGAAATAATTGAAAATATTGATATAAAAATTCAATGATTAAATACCTATTGCACAATTACTGGCAAATACTCCCCACAAGGAGTGTATTACATTTTATATTACAGCAAAGTGAATATCAGGCATACAAAATAATTGGCATCAGAAAAAATGTTCGTTCAGAGTCCTTACCAAGTAAGGAAGAGTGCTGTGTCTTAGTCTTTCTGTTCGGCATTTAAAGTCTCTCAATCTATCACTGTGTCTCAATCGTCGATTCGTGCTCTGCATCTCTGGAAGCCAGTCGCGAAAGTGCTTGTAGAGCGATTCTGCGAACCTTAGGCACAGATGTTCCCTTCTGTCAGAGAGGGATTGCAGACCTGAAATCTGGAGGGCATGTTCATAGCTGTGGTATCGATCATGAAAAATGATACGGAGGGCTCTCCTCTGGACTCTCTCGATATCATTGGCCTGTTCAGATGTAATGGATGAATTCCAAACTGGAACACAGTACTCAAGCACAGGTCGAATGTAGCACGTGTAAATTGTGAGGAGATCTTCCACAGGGGCGCGATAACGCTTTAGGGCCCGAATAATGTAGAATTTTCGCGATGCCCTTCCTGTGATATCACGAACGTGGCTGTCCCAACGTAGGTTATGCTGCAGTATGACACCCAAAAGCTTGAGCTCTTTCACTTCCTGCAGAGTTGTATCATCTAGCTCAAGATGCAAAGGTGGAAGTTCGGTCCGTGAGAAGGACACTCTCATCGATTTGCACTTTGACGAGTTGATGCGAAGACCGTTATCCGAACACCATTGATGGAACAGCGTTAAGGTGGAGGGCATCATGTTGCATGACCCTCGTCTGCGGCTTTCTGCGAAGGTTATGTCATCGACGTATTTCCATCTGGATATACCTGCTGCGTCTGTCAATGCGTCATTAATCAACGCTAGGAAAATTGCTGGCCCAAGGCGAGTACCCTGGGGTACACCTCCAACTGGAGTAAGGGAAGATGAAAGTACTCCGTTGTATCTTGTCATCTGTTCTCGTCCATGAAGAAAGCTACTGATCCATGGCAGCAGGGATGGTCGAGCACCCATTGTGAAGAGTTTATTTATTGCGATATTGTGATTGACTAAGTCGAAAGCTTTTGAGAAATCAGTTACAACAATGGTGGAAACAGTTTGGAGCCGATCAGCATTGGTGTGGAGGAAATGTAGAAGATTGACGAGATAATGAGCAGTGGAGTTTCCTCTCCGACTTCCATACTGTTGAGGGTCAATGTTAGGTTCGATATCTGCTAGTAGTTGGCGATAGATGAAGAGTTCAGCCAATTTTGCAAAGTGGTCAGTCAGGGAGATTGGTCTCAGTTGATCTATTGTGGGAGGAGATTTCTTTGGGACCGGAACGACAATAGATCTTTTCCACTGTGACGGGACTTTACCTTCCTGATATGAAGTGTTTATGATGTCACATATGGGTGAACTCAACTCTGCTGCGAACTCACGAATCAGCTTTGCGGACACTCCATCTGGTCCACAGCTTTTACCAACTGGTGTCTTTTTCAGCTCGCAGTACACTTTCCATGGATGAATCTCCATGACACTTGAAGGGTTTATGGGCTGATACGCTGGTAGTTGTCGTAAGTCCAATGGGGGAACGTTTGCTGAGATGTCAGTAAAGTGATGATTGATTGCATTAGCAATGGCTTGGCTATCAGTTATTTCCACTCCAGGAACCCTGATAACATTGAGTGGTGATGAGTTACTGGTCGCAATTTTAACAAATTTAAACCATGCACTTGGGTTCTGGTTTTTCAGTCTTTGGATCCGATTTTTGTAGTAATCTACTTTTGCTTTCTTGATTTCTCGTATGACTTTGTTCTTCAAACTGGACCACTCGGGACTGCAGCTACTGAAAGCAGCCTGTCTGCGCTTGATAAGTTCTTTTACCACTGGTGTGATCCAAGGTTTGTCCTTGCAGTGGACCTTTACTTCTCTTGATGGGAAGAATAACTCAATGGCAGAATTGAGGTCATTGTAGAAGTTGTCACACTTGGTACTGACATCATCTGCATTTGTGACACTAGACCAATCGTGAAGAACAATCCAATTCCCGAACCGTCTTATGCCAGATTCCTTCATCGGTTGAATGGTTCTTGATGTGGTACGGTTAGCATGTTTCACCAGATAGACTTTAGGCAGCCACTTAACCCCTCTATGATCGCTGCGGCCCACTGGAGACATTAATTCAATAGAGGAATAGAGGCTTTGCATGTTAGTAAGTATCTTATCAAGGATTGCGTCTTTTCGTGTGGCTTTGTCAACCACTTGTTTTAAACCATGTCCGTTGGTGAGTTGACTTAGATTTAGGCGATTTACATCACCAAGAATAATGATTCCTGCTTGTTGGAATTTAGCAAGAATATCATCAATGGCCTGTGATATGTGCTGGATCAGCGAGTCACTGTCAGGGTTGTTGGGGGGACTGTATAGCGTTGCTACGAAGATGGAGGACACTGAGCGCGGCAGTCGGTGAGGGCGCAATTGAACCCATACAATCTCATGATGTGATGGTACCGTAATGAGACTCATTGGTGTTGGGTGCATTTCATCTCTGACGTACAGTGCCACGCCCCCTCCACGCCTTCCAGTCCGATTCTTAGAAAACATAGAGTAACCGGGAATGTTATACACTTGATTAGGTATTTCATCAGTGAACCAAGTCTCGCTCACCGAGATGATGTCAAAATCACCTTCTGTAACAACAGTTGTAAACTCATCAAATTTGTTGTTTAGTGACTGTGTATTAGTCATGTACACTGAAGGCAAGGTGACTTTCTGGTGGTTGAGCTCAATTTTTACATTTGCACATGTTCTTTGATTGCGCTCAGTCCATTGAACTGTTGATCGATGTGGTATAATTCTAACCGGAATCTTTCTCTTAATGTGCCTACCAGCTCTCCGGCCTCTTCTTTTCTTCGAAATTCCACAGTCTTGTATTGTTAAATGGGTCTCATCAGATAGTTTGAACGGTGGGCTGCGTAATGACAATAGCTCTGTCCGTGAATAAGATATCCTCTTGACGGCAGTTAACCCTTCTGCTGCCGAATCGATTTCTGGCTGCATTTGGGTAGGGTACTCAGTGGCTGGACTCCCCATTGCTAGCCCGACAAAGTTATTCACCACACCGCACAAAGTAGCAGTTACAAACAGGCACACAAACCTCATAGCGATAAGTTAAAAATACTTGTCAGTTTAATCGAAGTTCTCAGCAAAAACTTACGTCATTATGTCCATTGAAAAATCAAGAACATGAAATGTGACTTCTGAAACTATTTAGACTGCTAAAGTAGTAAAACGTGATAAAAATTATGGAACAAATCGTTGTAGGCGTCAGCATCAAACAGCGCCATCGCGGGGGGGGGGGGGGGTACTAAAGGTACCTGTATACAAAGACCACCTGTCTACAAAGGCCACTTTTTGTGTTTCCCTTTGGTGGTCGCTGTAGACAGGTTTGACTGTATTAGGAATATTGTTATATCAGGGTAAAAAAAACAAAAGAATATAAAAAGCTGGGACCAGCAAAATTATCATGTTATATTAGATACCTTGTTATATCATAGCTCTTTATAATGAGGTGCCATTGTACCTCCATAAATGATTACAAAATATTAACGATCTTCATTCAAAACACACTGGGTATTAAAGCATTGTTTAAGTAACTGCTTTAAAGAATGTTGACAACACAGAAATCACTTAATTAACTACCTTTACACAATCATTGAAATATCTGAAATAGTTATAATCGTATATCTGTAATGCAAGTTTCTTGCTGGCAGTGCTTTTCAAGTTACAAATACAAGTATCACCTAAATAATACAAGACAAGCTTCCAATCTTAATACATTTTTTTACTTACCGGTAATCATCTCGACATTAACATTGCTTTATATAAGTAACTTCTCAATTTTTGACACCGTTTTGAGATTACCATCAGAAATTGAAGTATAAATTCTTTTGAACATTTCAATCTGCAAACAGCACTGACAGTGTCAACCATACATGTTCATTAACATATATGAGCATGTATTTGCTAGTGAATATGGCAGGTACAATAGGCATTCACTCCTTCATTTATTTCCAATTCTCGTAAAAAATACATTAAACAAAACATAATACATATAAGCAAATATATAACAAATACAATGAATATGGAGGAGCCAGCAGAGGCCGTTGGCCTTTCAAAGGCTGGGCTCCAATGGCTGCAGTTAATTATACAAAATAAAACAAGTCATCTCGTCTGTTGCTGGTCCAAAGGGTGCTAAATATGGGTAAGACTTGATGAGTTAACATCCTTCTGGCTTAAAACTGATTATTTGATATCAAATGAAATGACCAACCTGTAGATCAACATTCTGTTTGAGTAGATCTGCAGCAATACGTTGCTTCTCTCGGGCCTTTAGTTCATATACCTCTACTTCGGCTGCTATGGAGGCTTCTTTTTCTACGAGGAGGAAATTTAGATATGATTCAAATGATCAAAAAGAGAAGGTTTTACAGTAATTTACAGTGTGCGAATATAATGTGACATAGGCCTACAAAAATACGGAATATTTTTTGACTTTTGATCATCGTGCATCACCACCATCTTCAACATCGTCATCATTACCACCACCGCCATCATCATCATCATCACCATCATCACTATTATCAAGATACTTGTAACTGGCTACCAATAATAATAATAATTATAGGCATTTCTAGAAATTCTTTTCTGAGGCACATTAATTATTACCCCGGCTTTACCTAGCTGCCATGACAGCGCTCCAGCATTTCAAGGAATTAATTCCTGCCAGGAACCCATTTACCTCGCCTGGGTCGAATGTGGCAAATGAAGATTAACGCCTTGCCAAAGGACATTAGTGCCGTATCGGGGATCAAATCACGACCTTTAAATTTCAATTTTAAGTCAAGTGCTTAAACCACTCAACTACGACACTTCTACAATATCATCATCGTGTCAGTGTACCTTGTTGGAACTGTTCCAAAACCATTTGGAGGTTGCCAAGAGACAGGATGTATTCTTCTGATTCCGACTGGACCATAGACAGCTGCATCAAGGCGTGGTCTTTCTGTTCATTCATGGCACCGAGTTGGTCCTGAAGACTGTCTATCTGCGCACTTGCTTCCTTACTGTCATATCATGATACAAAGATGTGCTTTATGTGAGTTTGAGTTTGAGTTTGAGTTTGAGTTTGAAGTTTATTATCCAAACAAAAAGTACATCAATATAACAATCAAATGTGAAAGTTTAACAATGAAAGGATAAATGGGACCAGAAAATAGCATTTAATGCTAATCGTGTCTGGTACCACTGTAAACATAGATTGTCAGCATAAATGTCCAAACTGGTTCAGTATAAAGGAACAAAGCCCCCTAACATCATCAGGAACTTTCATGTCATGAATATTTAGAATAAATAATATTGTAGCAGAATGTTGCCCCAGCATTTTCCTATTAAATATCTTAACGCCCCTCTATAACGAGTTGGGAGCCCCAAATTCCCCAAAAATTTCACTTGAATTGTATCATTATGTAAAAGAGGATGTCATTTTAGTCACACTTCTGCAAAGATTTCCCTTAAAATGATGGTGTTTTGGAGACATATATTGATAAAAGAATACATAATTCAGGGTTTCTGTTGTATCAGGTTTTGTATTCTTTTATCAATATCCGACCTTAAACATATTTGTTTTAAAAATCCCTGCAGTGTCATCAATCACATCCTCTTTCAAATTGTGATACAATTTAAGTGAAATTTTGCCATCAAATTTGTGGGGCTCCTAACACTTTAGAGGGGCTTTAAGGATGATTCCTCAAAGTTGGGATGAGGCAAAACTGTATATTTCTTTAAAAGGTGCCATGACTTTTAGAAATCTTTTTTTAAATACTGCCCTAATATATAAAGATTTTGACAATTTACTTTCCTAGGGGTCAATCCTGAGTTTGTTATAACCAAAAAAAAAGTTTGAAAAACACTGCCCTAATAGATACAGATTTCAACAATTTAATTTCCTAGGGCTCAATCCTGAGTTTGTTATAACCAAAGAAAAAGTTTGAAAAACACTGCCCTAATAGATACAGATTTCAACGATTTAATTTCCTAGGGGTCAGTCCCGAGTTTGTTATAACCAAAGAAAAAGTTTGAAAAACACTTCCCTCGTATATACAAATTTCAACAATTTAATTTCCTAGGGGTCATTCCTGAGTTTGTTATAACCGAGCTCCACTCTATTCATAACTGACGAGAGCTTACCTAACACTCTGCACAGCTGAGGAGCTGCTATGGGCATGTTCTTCTGCCATACTGAGTCTGTTTCTCAACTCTTTCTCTCTCTCTTCTGCTTGAAGTGCCTCCTGTGTGTAGGTATCTTCCATCTGAATCAAGTGATTTCGCAATCTCTCCAGCTCACGCATTAACTTCTGTTCGTTTCCTCCGCGCATCGCAGCCTGCATTGGGCAAGAAGTTTTTTTTTTTTAATTGATTCTGAGGATATGTTGCTCCTAGAAATATTTGATTTGATTTGATTTGATTTGATATGGTTTATTGACCCTAAAAACGTACATTCAAATAGCAGCGAGAGGCTGAAACAAATTGAATTTACAAAAGATTGATAAATGTACATTCTTCAAAAGTCAAAGAATTGAAGGAATTCAAAAGATGAATTAGACAACATCTGAGGCTTGCCCGGAGGAATCTCCCCTCAATGTTTTTATGAGAATTAATTATTCATTATTGAATCAATTGAATTGATTTATTTCCACATTTGCATTAACAAATAACAACACAATATACACGATATACACAATATACATATTATTCAACATATCAATGACATAAAAAACAAGAACAAAAGCAGAAATACAGAATGGCATTATACTACAAAAAAGTGATGCCAATGTGGAGGATTATAAACAGTGATGAACATTAGGTCTTATAAATAGAAATGGAATATTATGATAATTAATATTACTGATTGGTGGAGAGGAAGAAATGTGAAAGTTTAGAAACTAATGTCAAAAATGAACCATCAGGATTTTGGTGGTGGATGCAACTGTGCAGTCAATTTTACAATAGGTGGATTTGTGTAAAAGTAGAATAAGAAAAACGAGACGGTGGAATTTTGAAAGAAATCCAACAAATACTAAGTTGTAAAATATGTGATCATCAAGTCTGTGTAAATATCAAATAAGCAATCTGGTCAGTGGTCAGACAATTGTGACACATTTATGGACAACTTTCACGTAGACGCCTTTTCCCTTCAGGCAGCACTCAAAATACATTCTAAATTAATCATTCGGGAAAAGTTAGCTAATACTTTGAAAGACCATGCATAATATTTAGTGTCTGATTTACATGTACATAAATCACCACAGCTTACCTCTTCCTGCAGTAGTAGAAGGTCTCTCTGACATTTCTCTAAAGCCATCATTGCCTGGTCCCTCTCCTGCTGGAAACGTTGTGCTTGTGTCTGCATCGCCTCGGCTTCACCAAGCAACCTGCGGACTTCTCCTTGAACATCTGTGTCCTTATCATCCACCAGCTTAGCAAGAGTCTTACATTTGTCCCGCAATGCTGTTAATTCAAAGTCCTTCTCCCTCACCTCGGCACTCATCCTGCTCATGAGGTCCTGGAGCTGTCGGAGCTCACCGTCCTTATTGAGCACCATGTGCTGTTGGTTGGTGATCTCCTGGTGTGCCCGTGCCAGTTCCTGCTCCACGGCCTGTAAACGCATGGAGATCTGCTGGGTGTGATGGCGCAACGTGTTCGCCTCTTCCGTCTTCGCCTTCAGGTCCACGTGCAATTGCTGCAGATCGCTGGTGTGCTTCTGAAGGGTTGCATTCTGATCTAGGATGGCCTGATCTTGCTGGTCAATCTGTTGCCTCAGTGTGGCAATCTCCAGTTTCTTCTGCTCCAGCTCCATGCTTCTGTCTTTGACAAGTCCGTCCATTTCCAGTAACGCATGACCCTGAGATTCAAGTTGGTCCTTGACACTGGCAAGCTCTCCGTCATGTTCTTTCAAACTCACCATATCTTCAGAGACCTGAGGAGTGACCTGTTGTGGTTGCAGACGTGACCGGAGGTCGGCAATCTCTGCATCCTTCTCCTGCATCTTCTGTTCATATTGCACTGGTGGAGCACTTAGCTGTACAGGAGCCATCTCTGCCTTCACAACAGTCTCCTCTATAATAGGTGCTCGTCTTGTCTTCAATTCATCAAGCATATGCTGCAGATGTGCTAGTTCATTTTCTTTCTCACCAAGTTCATTGGTTTTACTTGCTTCCAGTTTTTCCAACTCCTCCATCCTCTTAGTCATTTCTGTTCCTGAGTCATCCAGCAACTGAACCTGATTTTCCAACTCTTCAACTAATTGCTTCTGAATCTCTAGTTCTTCCTCTAATGATCCCGTCACCCTGGAAGACTCATTTAATTCCATTTTTGATTGATTCATAGATTCGGTCAATTCATCCATTTTACTTTGGAGGGCACCATGGTGTTTCTCTAAGTCGCTGTGTTTTTGTACCTCTCCGTTGACGATACCCACAAGTCTCTGCACCTCTTCATAATAAGCCAAGCTTTCTTGGTGTTTTTGGTGAATGCTCACCACAAGTTGATCTCTCTCCTCCTTCAGGACGGTATTTTCCTTCTGGAGTTTTTCACTCTCAGAGAGCACACCTGAGATCTGAGAACTGTTGCTTGGAGCCTCTGACTGCAGAACTTCCAGCAAAGAGGTGTTCTTCTGCTTCAAGGCTTCGATCTCAAGGTCCTTATCCTGGATGATGCGTGAGAGGTTATGTAAGGCCTCCTTCTGCATGTCGTCCCTTGGTCCTCTGGACGCATTGTGCAGCTCCTTGACATCCTCTTGTGCTTTCTCCAGGGCAGACTTCTGAGCTGATATAACCTTCACAAGCTTGTGGACTTCATTCTTGAGGTTGCTTGCCTCCCTTGTCTTCTCGTTTAAGACAGTCATCATCTGATGTCGTTCAGACTCCAGGGTCTTCACTTTCATCTGGTTCTTGTGGAGGTCCACAAGGACACTGTTACCCATAGTTGAGGTAGACTTCTCACTCAGACTGGTCAGGAGACTTTGCCGTTCATGTTGTAGCATACTGATCTCCTTCTCCCTCTCCTGGATGATTTTCTCGTAGTGCTTTTCGTTGTCACTGATGGAGCCATCTTGACCTTGGAAGACACCCGTTGGGGATTTACTGAAAGGGCTTGAAGGTGGCAATGCATCTTCTATCCTTTCAGACACACTGATATTCATTTCACCATTCTGCAGGGGTTGTTTAGCCGGTTGTTGAAGCTGCGTGGTAATGTTTCCGACTTCCTCACGCAGTCTGTTTACATCTTCGTCCTTCTGCAGGTTGGTCCTTTGTAAGTCCTCGATCTGACTCTCATACTCAACGAGAGACTCATCAAGTGACTTTTTCTGATTTCTCAGCTGAGTCAGTGATGAATCTAATCGACTGATTTCATTGTCCTTATTCTGAATGCTTTCCTGGAATGTTTGAAGCTGACTTTCCAACCCAGCACGACTCACTTCTAACTCTTTCTGGAGTTCATTAATTATTGCACTCTTCTCAATTAGGTCCGTCTGAAGCTGGTCTACAGCATCAGCGCTGCTTTCATCGACCTTCGACTGGTCTCTCAAAGATTCAATCTGGCTTTTCAGTTGACTAATTTCTGCCTCTTTCACATTTATTCTCTCATTGGATTCTGACAATTGAGTTTCTTGAGCTGCCATTGTCTTTTGGACAGATTCCAATTCTGCTTGGACACCAGACAACTCTAGTTCTGCAGCATGTAATTCCTCATTCAATTCACTTATTTTCTGTGTGCTTTCCTTTAGTTCTTCTGTGAGTTCATCTTCTTTTGTTTGAAGATTTTCTTTCTCTACTCCTGTCGATTCCTGATGTTGCGCAAGGTTTTTCTTAAGATTATTCACTTCTTCCTTCAAAGTATGTGTGGTTTCTAAATGTTCTTCTCCAGAAGAAGACATTTTGCTCAATTCTGATTTTGTTTGTTCTAATTCACCAGTCAACTTTTCAAACTTTTCCTTTGTTTCTTGGAGCTGCCTATCTACATTCTCCAGTTCCTTGACCTTAGCAGTGAGTTCTCCAATTTTGTCTTTTGATTTTTCCACATTCCTGAAATAATGAGAATTCTCATCAGCAAGCGCTCTAACATCTTCTTCTTTCTGTTCAATCAAGTCTTCCAACTCTTTCTTGCTCTCTATCACAGATTCCAACAGTTCCTTCTTGGAGTTTAATTCAGCATTCAAGTCATCGCAGGTCTTCTGGAGCTGTTCTGCCTGGGTCCTCTCCTGCTCCTGCGCGTTCTCGCGTCTCTCGGCACCTGACTTGATGGCTGCAAGGTCAGCCTGAAGCTTCATGAGCTCACTGTGTGACCTGGTCAACACCTCGTCCCGTGACTTGACCTCCTCCTGGATTCTTTCATTCTCCGTCTCCAATGCAGTCACCTCGGCAGCCTTCTGCTCCAGACGCTTGGAGTGCTCAGAGTGGTTCGAGTTCATCTCCTGGAGTTTAGCATCGCGCTCATCGATGCTCTTGTTCAGCTCCTCTATCTCATGGTGTGTCCTTGACAGCTCATGCTCGAGGTAGGCAACACTCTCAGTCGGAGAGACACCACTTTGTTCCTTTGATTGCAAGCTTTGTAGTTTTTCCGTCAGTCCCAAGATTTGTGACTGGAGATCCTCCCTGCTTGGAAGGTCAGTCTCATCTGCCTGCCTCTGCTTCTCTACCTCTTGCTTTGAAGCCGCACGTCGGCTGACGTTTAGCTCGGATTCCCGCCTAAACTCATCAAACTCCTTCAACGATTCATTGTGCTCATCCTGCATGGCTTGCAGCTTTGTCCGCAGAGTTGTCATGGCGACGGCTTGTTCTTGTTTCATCTGCTCCGAGTCTAAAAGGTCAGCTCTGCTTGCACTCAAGTCCTCTCTCATCTCCTCCATCTCGTACTCGAGAGCTGCTTTATCCGCTGCTGACTGCTCAAGCTCTGCACTCTGCTTCGCAAGCTTGTCATTCACATCCATGATCTGTGATTCCTTCTCCTTAATCTCCTGGATCAGCTTATCCCTGGAGGAGATAATCTGTTCTAGAGCCGTTTGGTGTTGGGCATCTAGCTGATTTAAATCCGTCTCCAACTGTTCTTTCTCCTCTCTCGTTCTGTTAAGTTCCTGCTCCATGTCCCCTCTGCTAGTCTCCATATCTTCTTCTATTGCACTGTATCTGGATTCTACTTCATGAAGTCTGTTCTCAAGCCCATCTTTAGCTTTGGTTATCTGTGATATCGAAGCATCAAGGTCGTTCTTCTCTCCTTCTATCCTCTTGAGCTTCTCCGCCATCTCCTCCTGTATATAAACAAACAATAACAAAACAAATTGATAAATATAAAATGTTAAGTAATATAATTGACTACCAATATGGAAAATGAAATCAGGTCATTTATTAAGTGTGCAGGGGGAAAAAGGGCATTAAAAACAATGTACATTTCAACAACAGAAGTATCTGTTTGACTCATCTATAGTGGTAAATATATGGTATATTGACCATCAATATATATATATATTTCAGTTGCAATTCATTTGCAAACTGTGAAACAAATGCTGTGGTCTATCACTTCATTGTCTGAACGAGCCTCGAGTGCAATAGTTCCAACTTCAATAAAGAAAGCACAACCTCCAAAACCTCTACTATAAAGGGAACTTTAGAGTAAACACCCTACCATTGATTCAGATATCTCCAAGATAATTAAACAACTCATTGAGTTTCATCCTATGGTTGGCTACTTGATATTGTTGGAAGGGAAGTAGAAAAAACGTCAGAGGGTTATTTTTGTGTGAGTGTAGTCTTGAAAAAGACTGGTGAACCACGTTATGAATGCGGAGTAAGAGCAAGAGCGAGGCTCAACATTCCGAACAGGGAAGTGTTTCACAAAGACTAAGATCGAATTTAAGTTCGACTTAAATATGGCAGGCCATTCATGCTACTGGTTGCTCTCACCATTGGTCTCTCAATTATGGTCTTCAGATAACATTTTTTCCTTCAATAATGAAATATCAAAAAAGCTCAATTCCATGATTTGTACGTTCCTTGAGAGACCATTGCCAGTAAATAGTGAGAGCAAACAGTGGCATGAATGACCTGCCATAGTTAAGTCCAACTTAAAGTCGATCTTAGTCTTTGTGAAACACTCCCCAGATAGCTCCATGAGAAAACGTAACACCACAAAATCAGAAGATTACGGGATTGTTGATAGAGACCTTAATTGTGTCAAGAAACTTTCTGGACCACAAAAAGTGATTACAATTGTTATAGCATGGAAGTTCATCCAAGCAAACCTTCTTGGTTTAATCGTACATTGCCTGCAAGTCAAAATAATTTGGGTTACATGGGGTTAGCAAAAAATGGTCTCGCTTACATTTGCTCTTTTGCCGGTTTCCTTCTCTCTCAGTAAACTAGCATTGTTGTCTTGCAAAGCTTTTACCTTCTCTTCCAGGTCTTCACTATGTTCTTTATGAACCACCATTAGACCCTGTGAACAAAGCATACAAACATAAACTCTTACCGGTAGGCCCATGGTTTAAATCTTCATTTACATAATCCATGGTCTAAAAATGGCGCAAAATAAGCGTGACACAGTCAGAGTTCCAATATTAGAAGCACGCAAGGCAAGGTACGCTTATTTTGCGCTAAATTTTAAACCATGAGTTATGTAAATGAGGGTTTAAACCATGGGTTATAAGTTAAACCTCCTTTGTGAATTTGGACCTTACTCTATGAACAGGTATTTTCGCAGGGTTTTTAATTTTGCAAATCACTCATTGATCACAAATTTAACAACAAGTAAAAAAAAAAATATATCCAGCAAGTAATGTCTCATGTCGGAATCATGTAAGGTTTTTACAGTAAATAAACGCAGCCCAATAGTGCAGTGCGCGTCTCAGTGTAAATATCAATTGTCCTTGCCATTGGAAACAAAACATGTGCATTTCATTGCACCTTCAATTTAACAGGCGCCAGAGATACGCATATACAGTGTAAGAATCCAAAAGATTTGTTATGTGTGTCGGGATATTGGGAGATTGGTGGATTTTCTGGGAGTCTCCCGACAAATACAGGAGGGTTGGCAGCTCTGTTATCACTATGACCATGACTGACAAAGAAAGCGGACAAAATATACAGTTCCTCAGGTAGACAAAGGAACATCCCTTCAATGCTATTATGTAAAAATGTGTAGAACAGGTGTCACATGCATATTCACCTTTTTACATAATAGCAGTGAAGGGATGTTCCTTTGTCTACCTGAGGAACTGTATATTTTGTCCGCTTTCTTTGTCTGTCATTTTCATATTGTATGCGCATCTCAGGTGTTCATTATGACTTTTAGCTGTGGGTTATCACTTTTTTATGGGAACTTTTTTCCATGATGTCACTTGACCAATTAGATTGTCTATATTCTAGAACCTGTCCTATAATCTCCTTTATATCCTGCATCAAAATGTATTGGCTTTTGATTGGTTGAGAGCTCGTCACATGACCAGAAATATTTCAACTATTTAAAGAAAGTACTATTTGGGAATTGACATTTGTTTTGTTTTATTTTTGTTTTTTTAATTTGATTTTTGTTTTTTTAAATCTTAGTTTAATAACAACAAAATATTTTTTATTCTTTTTTAATAAAAACTGTACTTCTTAAAATTTCAATAAAAATTTTCAACAAAAACAAGAAAAAAACAAATCAAAACAAAACAAAAAAATAAAAATAAAAATAGTACTATCGGAGTCATCTCTTGCGTATAGTTTTAACCAGAACCTCTCAAGACAGTGTATATTTGTATAATAACAGTCAAGGAACGCACTGTACCTTTTCAGCCGTCATGTCTTGAAGGATGCGATCTTTCTCTTTGAGTTGATCTCTCATCCTAATGACTACCTCCTCCAGAGCCTGTTTCTCCATCTCCCAGTCAGCCCTCACCATCTCAAACTGGTTCAACTGCTGCTTGAATGCATCTGCTGCTTCAGGGAATCTACAGGTAGAAACGTGACAGAGTTCATTAACCAGAAATCCTCTCTGCATGTATGAAGTGTAATCTCTCTCAAATTGGCAACAATATATTTTTGCACATTTTTGTATGTATTTATGAATAGCAAATCATAAAATAGCATCAGCTGCTTCAGGGAATCAACAATTAGAAATGTGATGGACTGCATTAACCAGAAATCCTCTCAACCTGTTCATATTTTACTCTGTCTCTCAAATTGACAACATATTTTGCACATTTTTGTATGTATTAAACATCTACTGCTTCAGGGAATATACCATTCCAAGAGAATAGAGTGTAATTATAATCTGAACTCCTGTAATTGCTGAACTTCCCTGCAAATAATCAGAGTATATTCATTAAATGGTCACAATCTTTTCTAATTACTACTATTTTGTATAAACAATACTTTGCATTATAAAAAAATAAGCAAACTAAAATGATCAAACAACTTGAAACTATTACAAATAAACTTGCACTAGGAAAAATTAGAAGGCTTTGATGAGACTTTTAGTGGGTGTGGTATGTATTGAAGAATTCACATTGGACTACTATGACTTTGGATTCTTTAACGAGTTAAGGTATAATGTCAAACTTACTTCTCCTTGATACCAGCAAACATGATAGAGTCATCGTATTCCCCATCAAAGCTCACAGCATCAGAGTTCTCCAGCAATGACTGCTTGCCCTCGGTCAAGAACCCTCCATCGCTGCTCAGCTCCGTCTCCGACGTCCAGCCTTCCCTGACCGATGAACTCAGGTCCGATGCGACGCTCGAGTCCGTGGGAGACTGTGGCCTGCGGTACGAGATGTGTCTCCTGACCTGAACTCCATCCTCCGCACCTCCCTGGGGCAGACTGTCAAGGTCACTTTCACCAGTCACAAGGGTCAGCTCAGATTCAGACTGAGAGGGGTCAGAAGGTCGTTGCTCCGACCCCTGGGGGTCCTGACCTGAGAGTTCTTTGACCTTCTGATTGAGATTGGTTATGAGAGCCTCACATGTCTGTTTGTCGTCTGCTAGCGTCTCACAGGATTGGTTCAACTCATCAATCTAGGGAGAAGAATATCAAAACATGATTCAAAGCTACAAGACCTAGAGCAAGTGTCATATCGGTGCACATAAATCTCATACCGAACGTAAGAGATAAAGAGACCTAGCCTCCATAAACAAATAAACTACAATGTGACATATTAAATCACAATCTACCAACCAAATTGCCAATTTGAGATTAGCACAGGTTTAGTGATTTCATAAATCATGAACTTTCATAACTCTATTTCATTGGTCCAATTTATTTCATACCCTTGCCATTATTTTGCTATTAATCGTTTTTTGCTTTCATACCAATGAACTTATTACAACGATTGAACTATTCTATACAAACTAAAATACCACGGATATCATAAAACACACCTCATTCTGTAGTCTAGAGACGTGATGTTTTAGAAGATCATTCTCCTTCTCAAGACTACTTACAAAGTCTGCTGTGATCTCCAAACTAAAATACTACGGATATCATAAAACACACCTCATTCTGTAGTCTAGAGACATGATGTTTTAGAAGATCATTCTCCTTCTCCAAACTACTAACAAAGTCAGCTGTGATCTCCTGATGTTGGCTGCATCCGATCTCGGATACGATCTCGGCTGCCTGGTCACTGATATCCAATGTGGCTGCTTCTAAGGTAGCGACTGTATTCTTACTCTCGGACATCTATCGGTAAGAATTATAACAATTATTAAAAACATAGAACTACAACATTTTTTTCCCCTTTTCCTCATACAAGGCATTTTATTACTTTATATCATTTAAACAACATTGCATATAGAGTTTGATTACAATATGTATACAAAATTCTGTTCAATACAATTAATGTTGATGTCTTTTCAAAGAATTAATTATATGTGACACTATCAGTATATTTCATATTATGTTCTAATTTTGTCAATTATGTGAATTCTTTTTTGTGAAATGTGAAACAAAATAAACTTAAAACTTGGAACTTGAAAATCAACAGACTGGTAAAAAATAAAATAGGGGAGACAAAAAGAGAGTGGGAGGGAAAGATCAAGGCATGAATAGAAATGTGTAGAACTACAAGATGAATGATAAATAAGTATACATATAAGGAAGAATCTTTTAAATAACAGTACAGTGTAATAATATCAAGAATTACAACTACAACTCATATCTATCATTCAAAGATTTAAAAAAAACATCTGATGAGTGAGATGGGCGGACATATCACGGCAGTTCATTCCACAGTCATGGTACAGAGGCCTGGAAAGCGTTATCACCAGCTTTACTGTTGATATGATCTTTACTTTAGAGTTGATATCAATTGCAACTATGTACATAAGAGATAGGAGACTGCAAACTTGTGATTGATTGAAGGACTTGTGAGTGATATGGATCAATCACAACTCTTTATAAGACAGGGCCAAGGGCACACTGTGTACATCTATGGTGCAGTCTGAACTTGAACAAAAACCAGGATAAAATGTGATCTTACCTTTTGTCCAGCTGTTATCATCTTATCAACAATCTGTTGTTTCTCTTTGAGTAGCTTGGATCTTCTCAGAGCTTCCTCGGTTGAGAACTTCCTCCCAGCATTATGAATGTCATCTAGCATTGCACTGGTGCTTGCCTGTGAGTTACAATCAACGTTCTTCATTGAACATATTCATTTCAAGCAGGATTTCAAGTATCTACAAAGATTTTTCTTCATTATATAGACTATGAGCACTGATGTGTGTTCAGACACAGATTTAATATTCAATTTCAAGTAACAAAGAGATACCTAGCATCGCACTGGTACTTGCCTGTGAGTTACAACCAAAGATCTTCATTGAACATATTCATTTCAAGCAGGATTTAAAGTATCTACACAGATTTTTTTTTAATTTTAACTACTATGAGCACTGAGGTGTGTTTAGACACAGATTTAATTTTAATTTTAAGCGACAAAGAGATAATGAAGCTGTTCATCTTGCACTTATCAGGGTAAATTGCCCAAAAATATAAATAGGACGGTATAAACGGAAGCTTTTATCTTGGATTGTAGTCCTCCTAAAAACTCCACAAGTGAGTTTACACTGGAGGTTTAGTTGTGGGTGGTCATCAATTTTGGGTGTGGGGATTAAAGATAAAGTTGAGTTCTGGGCATGCGATTGCATTGTGAAAGAAGAGTGTGGAATGGATCAGAAAATATTGATCATCTAGCATATAAGTATTGGTGTGTACTGCAAAGTTCTGGAGTCATCAAAATCATGATAAATTTGGCCCAGTCTTGGTAAAGTAACAAGCACGGTACACAGAAAGACGCGAATAATATGTGACATATTGAGGGAGCCAGGCGCCTTTGAATGCTTTTGCAGATAAATGGCGCTATACAAATGCTGTTCATCATCAAAGATGTATATGGGACTACACACATGGTGTCGGGCTACTAATATAACCTTGATTTCCTAATCTTTCTATGCTCATTACTCATCCAGTATACATTTCTACCAAAATTGTTTGGCAAATGACATTTATTTGTAATCTTGAACATTCAGTATAAGTTTTGTTTGATTCTGTAAGAATTCATTTTCTTTTGTTACCAGAACTCAAGTCTATCTTTAAGTGGGGCTGCTAAAGACAATCTAAAGGTGGCAATTAAGTTTTGAGATATACTTGATGCAGATAGATTATTCTGGGAGTATGAAAAGTCAAGGCATTATCAAAGGGTACAATGCTTTCTATCATTCTTCAATTTCTCATGCAGGTACATGGGTATTAAAGGTACTATGTCCCTTTTGCAGCAAACCTCAAGTTGTGTAGAACTTTGCAGGAATTATGAATATGTCATGTATGTCCTATCTGTGAAATTTAAAAGTTAGCAGTGTCCTCATATTCAAATTATGCAAGGAAACACATTTACTTGCTAGACTTCACTGTCAGACACTATTGAGTGACTGACTGGCTTTTTTCTTCTTTGGTAATAACATACATGAAAAGAGTTGTAAAGGGTACATGAGCATTTGTCTACATCAATAACCCACTTCTTGTTATGGCCAAGATTAAACTAATTGAATCTTTGCGCAGCATAAAACATATGATCATTCGGTACATACAATTGTCTGAAAATCAAGACTATTACTTTTGGGCTCTATAGCCCTAAAGTCGATTTGACAACTAATAGTTGTTATTTTCCCACTTGAAGACATTTTCAAGCCCTACCTTTTTTAGGGAAGTTCTAAATTAGTATTATCTTTCAAATGCAGTTGGAATTTAACTTTTTCATTTTTTTGGCCTGCAAATGGGACATAGTACCTTTAAGGTCAGGCAAGGAGTTTTGATACATAAATCTGACTGAATAAAAAGCAGACAGGTGGAGCTAAACTCAACTACCATACAAGGTACTTGAATTTTCCAATTGAAATTGAAATTTCCAATTTTAACTGATGACTTACAAAAATATACCGAGTGTATCCTGCTATTCTTTATTCTTTTTGTTTCTTCTTCTTTCTCTCCATTACAATGCATACATTTTGGAACATCTATGATATGCGCTATTTAAGTATGGTATACCATTATTATTACCATACAAGGTACTTCAAAAAGACAGTACAGAAAATTTATCAAGTATTATTATAGGATATAGTCTGATAGAAACTTTTTTATCATACCAAGTCTGTTCCAAATTCAAACTAAGGCTAGAAAACATATCAGTGCTGGTAATGGTTTCAAAATAAATTCTTACACTGTGTACATGTAGCTACAGTGTTGTAGTCAACACTTACAGTGCACAATGCAACATACCGGTACATGTTTCTCAAGTGCTCATGCAGGTGATGTATACATGCTGGTGTAAGTGTGCATTAAATTTAGCAGTTTGTAAAGAGATGTACTATTTAATATTTTGAGTTGCACTGATCATTTGAATATCATGCTGATTAATTAAGTCTTTGAAAAGAGGTTAAATTAGTTTAAGCCATAAGCCAAGCATTATTTGATAAAATCATACTACTTTGTATATAAAAAAAGTAAGGTAAAATAAATGCTATGGTGTACTAGTCATGCAAATGGTTCATAGATCTTGCATTATAAATTCAATATTTATCTCTTTAAATTTGCCAGAAAAGAGGGGAAAAGAGAGAATACAGTAATAAACTAAGCCATGTAAAATGAGCTGTAGGAACAGTTCTTATCACTATCATTATTATTGATTACCAAGCATAGAAATTACTTTTATTTGTGGAGTAAAAAAGAATTGTATTTTGACTGAAATATATATGACTTATTCTTCATCTTGAAAATAACATTAAAAAGGACAAAAATAATAATAATAAATCTAGATTTATATAGTGCTTAATGAAAAAAACTGTCAGCTATTACCGGTAGCTCTTTTAGAATTGTTATGCAAAGAGATTAAAGATAGGCAGAAAATATGGTGCAGACAAGTATATGCCTGTACAGCTTAGGGCAAATAGGGGTATATACATGTAAGAATTAATATGATAATAATTATATTTGTTTAGAGTGTAATGATCATAGGATATTGTATCTTGGTATGTATGCAGTAATAAAAGGTAATGTGTTAGTTACATGTACATAATATAGACAGGTATCTTCATTGATGATAAGGATAGAGAAAATTATTTACAGGATTTGGCGACAGAAAAATCTGGGAAGCCATAAAAAGATCCATAGCAGTATAAGAAGTGTTAATGGATTGTATTGAATCATATACAGTTACTGCCCAATAATAACAATTGAATACATTTTCAAGGGGGATTTCAATATCAGGAGCAGTATAAGGAGTATTGTTCGATATTTGAAGATATATGTAGGTAAAGGGGGGGTTAAGCAGTGTATACATAGATACAAAAGAACCAACATAAAGTTGTCTGGTGTAAAAAAAGATACATACCAAAACAAACCCATAACAAAGTGAGAAATAGATTGTAGTAAAGTCATACACCAGGTACGTACATGGATATTGGAAAAACAATCTGGAATACCTTAAACACAGGAACGCATGCAAGTTATTCAGTGACATGTCCCATGTGATACATGCAGTGGAGAGGAACATGTCAGTATTCGTGTGGAGATATCTAAAACCATGGGACCTGTCTCACGAAATCGTCATACATACAAGTTCACCGACATCACATTGTAACCTGTAGCAAATTAACTCTGAGATTCAGATATGAAAGCCTTTTGTTCATTTTTATATGATCCCTATCTCAAGGAGACATTAGTTCAACACTGTTAAATCACAATATATCAATAATAGCCCATTGCTTGAATAAACATGCAAGAGAAAGAATAAAAGGGCTCTTAGAGCTTCGTTACGGGGTTGGGGTTGTATTAATAATCAGTTTTATAGCAGTGACACATTATTTCAGTATTTAGTATTATTTATTAAATCATTTTGATAAGTATGCATAGGAAGCTCTTTGGTCATGCATTCATTAAGCTTTATTTTTTAATTTTTGAAATAATACAAAAATGTTCAAGCCTGCCTGCCCTCTAGTGTTAGCAAACTTTATTCAGCTTGTAAAATTGATACAAACTAAAGGCTGGAAGACAAATTTTGGTTTGTCTACCTAATGCACAAACACTGACGAAATATAATTAATTTTCTGCATCTACAGCCTGCATTTCTTTAAAAAATGTATTCTGCAGTTACAAGGCCCATTAAACAAATAAACTACCAAACACAGGATGCGATGTATTATTTTACACTGTGTGTTTAAGAAACCACTAGGCCATCATTTTGATTGTTATAAATTAGCTTTATGCTACAGTTAAACAACATAAGCTCAAGGATAGCAGAAATTGCATGTAGTTTTATAATATTGAACTTGTTTCTTTCATCAAGGCAAAGGCTTTTGATTTTTCTGTGTTCGTTTTGTTTTCATTCCATTCTTTTTGTTTTTCATTTTGTTTTTCAGTCAGTATGATTTTTCAAAACTATTCTCTACATCATACTTTTTTCATTTCAGATCAACTAAAAAATATATTGTCAGAAAAACAACTGTGTAGTACAGTTTATTGTTTCATAATTCCTTTTCTATCAAAAATTCACTGGAATGTAACTTTACAGATAAAATGAGATAGATGGTGAGAGCAGGCAAGCTTGTTCGTTTATTAGTAGTTGAGAGAGGGGGAGGGATAAGGGATTAGGATTAGGATTATAAATGAACGGTGATATGTACATGAGAGGCATTCAGTTCCGTGAGCAGTCTTTGTTTAGTGGCATAAAGATCTTCCCTGACCTGTTCGTGCGACCCTAGAAGGACCTCCAGCTCCGTCTCTTGTCCTGCAAACAGAGAAAAAAAGAAGGAAATGTTAATAATAATATGTCTTGTTTACCCACGGTAGCCTCATCAGTATGCATACTGTTCTCCCTGAGGGCCCTGCAATCATATCATTACCCCGGCTTTAACCGAGCTACCAAGAAATGGTGCTCAAGCATTCAAGGAATTTCTTCCTACTGGGTACCCATTTACCTCACCTGGGTGGAGTATGGCAAATGTAGATTAATATCTTGAAAAAAGGACATTATGTAGGCTTTATAAATGTTAAGGAGGCACGGTGGCTCAGTGGTAGAGTAGTGGTCTTGTAACCGAGAGGTTCCGGGTTCAAAACTTTTAAGTCAATGCACTTGTGCCCCCTTTGGTAAGGGATTAATCCTCATTACCAAGTCCCTCAAAGAGGACTTGAAGCTGTCAGTCCCCTGGTTATTTACTTACAAGCATATTATGCTTTCTTAGCAGTCAGGTAAAACAAACAAACAATAAGGTTCCCCTTTATTGGTCATAAAGACAATAGAAATTGTAATTGTATAGTTCCATACTGAAGCAAAGATACATGTACATTCTTACAAAGAATTAATTTCAAGTAGCATGCTTTGCTCAAAAAGGTAGACATGTAATGAATAAAGAAAAATATGATGTGCAAAGAACATTAATGTACAAATGTCAGAACATTAAGTATCAATAATACATAGTATTATCGTTATCACCATTATCACCACTGTTGGTTTCAATCTAGCTTCGATAAATCATCACATCATGCATGACCGAGCCTTCAGAATGTATGAATCTCAGGCCAAAATGAGGTTATAAATGCTTGAAGTAATTGCATATATAAATTAAACAATATCGGTTCATAGAAAGTTTCAATCGTCTCACAAATTGAAGTTAAACCATATTGATTCACAGAAAGTTTCAATCTTTTTACAAATTGGAGTCAAGCAATATTTATTCATAGAAAGTTTAAATATCTTACAAATTGAAGTCAAACAATATTGATTCATAGAAAGTTTCAATCGTCTTACAAATTGAAGTTAAACAATATTGATTCATAGAAAGTTTCAATTGTCTTATAAATGGAGGTTAAACCATATCAATTCATAGAATGTTTCAATCGTCTTTGTGACTCACTGTTTACAACTTTCATGAGGTGCTCCACTTCAAGCTTCAGCTCTTCATTATCTTTCTTCAAATTGGCAACAACGTCCCCATCACCAGCGGCCGACCCCGTGTGCCCTTTGACCTCTCTCTCAAGCCTTGACCTGTCTTTGTCTAGGATGTCCACCTTACGTCTGAGTGTTTGGACAAGCCTGGTATTATCCCGATCTGATTCGGTCAAGCGGGTGTTCTCCTTTTCTAGCTGGTAGTTGGACTCTTCCAGCTGTCCAACCTGCTGACGGGTCTCATGCAGAAGCTGATAGCGTACATCAAGAAAAACAATCATAGCCAAAATATTTGTGACAAGACTAACATATTTTACAAGATGTTTATAACAGAAAGTCATTTTATTTCATTATCCATTGTCGATGGTTCTCCACATTTATGTGCTACACCTGTGTATGTATTCCCCTCTCTAATACTGAACTAAAATTGTTTGTCTTAACTGACATTTTCGTGCAATAAGCCTTATGTTCCTGAACATACATGTACATGTATATGCTCAATTTAATTTGTTCTTAAAATTTAATGAAATTGCATTGATTGTTTTGGTGACTACTTATCTACATCTTTGATGTATTTTTCTAAATCTTTTATGAATTTGCCATTGGTATTTTGTTGTATTGCTTATATATTTTGACATTGTCTTATTAAAAATTTCTGATTACTTGGTAAAACATACAATACTGGCCTTGAGCTGCAGTTCATGTTGATTTTTTAATAAACCTATTCAATTTAATAAAAAAACAAATCAAACCTCTATGTTTGTATATCTGTAACAATCATGTCCTCGATCTGGAAAACATATAGTCAGTTTTTAGCCAGAAGGGCCTTAACTAATATCATTTTACACAGAATTAGACGATATACTCTCAAACTATGTACTTTCACAAAGTGTTAACATGGGCCATTAAAGCAGCACAAATCTATAGCTAATCCTATTTCAATCATTTTGCAGTATGACACTTTCATGATTTTAGGACATTCTCTAAATTGGTGAGACACAGTTTGCTAGACAATTGTTTACCAGTATTACAGTATATATACATTGCTATGAGCGGAAATCATTCCCTGCAAAAGCAGAAGGAAATGACCATCTGTGAATATCTTTAAATCAAAACTGAAAGCACATCTTTTCAATTAACTGTTAATCTAAGCATATCAGGAGCTCTTGTAGCGCACTAGAATATATACTTAATGTTGGATAGTTTCTGCACTATATACATGTATTATTATTATATTTATAAATAAAAACATATTTTGTTTACCTCTTCTAGTTCCAAGACTCTCTTCTGTAGATCATTGCCATCATCCGTAACACCGTCAGAAGAGCTCTGCCTGTACCCGACCATCTTCTCCAGACTTTCAATCTTCCTCTCATAATCCTCAACATCAGTCTTGTGTTTCTTGGTCAAAGTCTTGAGCTTGTGAGAGTGCGAGTCTTGAATGGCCGATAACTCGTGCTGAGACTCGTCTTCTTTATGTCTTAGCTTTTCTTCTAAGCTCTGATCATGATGAAAAATAATCATTAAAAATACCATTACAGGCTAAAAAGACAATCAATATTGTAATTGTTAGGACTATACAGATTTTAAAAACTTAACATATTATGCACAAAATACAAATAATTGAACTGTTCAGGGCACTTCTTTTACAATTAAAATTGCATAGATAAGTATAACGATATAGAATCAAATCATTACACTAAAATTCACATCATGATATTCAAAGCAATAAATACACTCTCTTAGCTTGTTTTATTTATTTTTTTAATTCTCTCCCTCTTTGGGCTGATATTTCTCAGTTTTGAATGCATTAAAACATATTTTTTTATTCTTAAAACATTTTTTTCCTAAAAAACTGTAAAAAATAAATTAATTAAAAAGCCGACCATAGATTTCAAGATTTTGGGGTCAGTCGCACAGGGTGCCACAACATTTTTTTTTTTAGGCCTAATGACAGTGGGTTATCATGTAATGTACCTTTATCCTAGCTTTCAGTTCTGCCATCTCCCCTTGTGAAGAATCATCACCAATCTGGAACACAGGCTGAAATCGAGAGAGAAAAAAGTTTAGAAAGTTTATTGTCTTCATCTACATAATAAACAAACGGGTCATAAAAAGAGTTCCATAATATTTTGGTCCAGAGCAAGGTATTTTGGGGAATAGAGAGATCCAAGGCCTCTGCTTACATTTTGGTTTATGTGTATTGGTGTAAAATAGGTGAGCTCCAGGGTATCTGTTTGAACTGGGAACCTGCAACCTGTAACTCAAAGCTACGCAAATGATCATACAATTGATTTTTGCGATTGATACCATTGAAATGTGCGATCAGTCGCCAACAAATATCCTTAAGATCAATTGGTATTAGCTTTGTGTTACGGGGCTTTGATATTGCCTGTATAATGTAAATGTACAGGTATATAGCAAAATGACATAATATAAATGGCACTCTAGGAATACTGTTTATTACTCATTTCATGATCTATTCATGTCTATGCACAGCAATATATTTGCCACTCATCTACACTCAAAATTTCCCACACTATTATTTTAGGCAATCCAATGCACAATGTCTCAATATGTCTCCAGACCAGCAGTGTTTCACAAAACTGTCATAAGTACAAGTTCGCCGACAACCCACTATTTCAATAGGCTGTAGGCAAACTTGTACTTGTGACGGTTTTGTCGACAACCACACCCATACCTTCTCTGATCTCTCCATTCTGTTTGCCAGCAGCCATCTCTTTCCAATGACTGCACTCTGCCCTCAACCTTCCCACCTCATTATATACAAAAATAAAATATTGTATCAAACCATATTATGTTCATGAACAAAAGAAAAAAAAGATGCAGAAACCAATAAATCAAATCAAATCAAATCAAACCTTCTCTCCATTCTGTTTGCCAGCAGCCATCTCTTTCCAATGACTGCACTCTGCTCTCAACCTTCCCACCTCATTGGAGAGACGGTTGATCTCCTGCTGAGACCAGATCACATCATCAAAGTCGTGACTGTCTGCCATGATGGCTGAACCCGACAGAGACGATGTGGACGTTGCCGCAGTCATGCCCCCACCGTCCCCGGCGGTGGATAACATGCTGTGGTGAAGGGTCTGCAGATCATTCTGCTTCTGGATCAAAGAATTCACCTGGTCCTGTTCAAAAGAAAGGAAAAAAATGGTTGTACGACACTTCCTCCTGCGACAATTGAAAGGTTTCTCAGCATTGAACGTTTCAAATGGCACTTGGCAGCTTGTTGCAAAAAGAAAAAGAATGCTGGTACGACACTTTTGCTGTCTTGCCCCCTACCTCTTTTTCCACCAAGACAGATCGATACTGTGATGAGATGCTGTTGATCTGAAGCTCGGAGGCCTCGGCTTTCTCTTCCAGCTCTGCATTAATACTCCCAAGCCTCTCATTCTACATATGTTTGTAAAACAAAAAAAAACAAAAAAAAATCAGATTATATATAGTAAGCAGTCATAGACTTGGGAAACAAGGGTCATATTCTGAAAACTTCTCTTTTAAATTAGGGAAAATGAAGTTAACTGTCATAAAATGTGTGAAATTAACACTTACAGTTAATATTGGTGCTTGCACAGAAGTCTCTCCTAACTTCACGCAAACACAAATCATTCCAATTTTTGTAAACAACAAGAGAGTTGTCCATGAATACATGTACATGTACGTCACAATCCACTGACAATACTGCCAATTTAGAGATCTCATAATTCAAACATTCGTAACTCTCTTATATATTATTGGTCCATGTCATTCTAAACTTTCACCATTCTATTTCTCTGATTAGTCTGCTTTCATACGAATGAGCTACAGGTACATGTAATTACAAAGGTTGCAATGCCAATTAATGCCATTGCCCTTCAATATTATTTACCTCAGCTCTCAGTGCAACGATGGCTGTTTCACAACGTCTCACTTTGTCTTCTGAGATCTGAAGCTCTGTGCTCTGATCTATAATTTAAAAAAAGGGAAAATTACAATAAAAATCACTTGTAAGCTTTTTTCACATACATGTCCAATGCAAACCATGGTTTTATTATGTTTTCATCTCGGCATAAATGTTGAACTGTAAAAATATTTACATATGAGAGAGAGAGGCAAGTCTTTTACAGTTTATTTTATTAAGGGTTTATCTTTACTTGACCTTGCAATAACTTACACACTTTGGCCAGTCGTAATTGACGCAGACGTTTTTTTTTCTTCGGTGCTCTGCGGGTTTCGGTTTCCCGATCCGCGAGCTGGCAATGCGAAAAACGGATTCAGCGTAATAAAATACCCCCAGTTCACTGTCTACTTTTACGGGTCATCCGTACAAAGTCTCTGTACAAAGTCAATGTGAAATGCATCAAGAAAATCATTGCGGAATCCGTTTTTAGCATTGCCAACGATCGGAAATAAGATTAAGAATCGTCCACGAAAATGTGGACTATCCAACAAGGCTTGCAATAGCCAATACTTCTTTATTGCAAGCAATAAAGAAGTATATTGCTACCAATTATTATTATTAATAATAATAATATTACACTTAATTAACTGTTAGCTTTTATATATATATGGTTATCCCAAGACTAGATTGGACGCATCCAAAGTAAACCACTGAACAACTGACAGAAGTGCAGTGCAGTTACACTGAGTGATTTCAAGTTCGGTGTTGAAAGCTGGTGTTGGGCCATCGAAAACGCGCACGCGTGATCGGTATCGTCCTTCTAAACTGACCGTCGGTGTTGGAGCTCGGTTCAGCAGCCTTTCCAAGCTCTCAACACCAACACCAACACCGAACATCGTACTTGAAATCACTCACTGTCACTGAGAAGAGAGAACAAACTCACCGGCCACTTCTTCGGTGCCCTCCGCGATAACATCCCGTGTGAATGATGCTGCTGATGTGGCTACATTCGATAACTGGCCGGTCAGATTCTCAGTCAAATTCTTCAGATTTCCACCGAACCACGCCATCTTTAGAACGTAAATTTCTAACACAATTCTATTTAATTTCGAAGTGTAACATTTCTATTGCCACAGTAAAAAATTATTTCATTGGAATAATGAAAATCCGCATTTTAAGTCCATAATTCCGTCCGTATTGCGAAGCGTACATTAGCCAGTTCTTGGATGAAGAAGATAGATAAAAAAAAAAAACTTCTGTAGTGTACAACAATAGCATTGCCAATTTAAACGCAAAATTAGAATGTGTAAAATGAAAAAAAATCCTTGTAGTATATGTGGAAGAAAAAAGATTTAAATTCATTAATCTTACAAATTTATAACAAAAAAAGTACAAACTGAGATATTTATAAATAAATATTAAATCAAATTAGATCTATTAAACAATTACATTGCAAAAAAAAATATTACAATGAGCAATGACATTGTAGTCGTAAATTGTCAAAAGTACTTGTTGCCTACTTTCAACTACTTCTGCTCGGATATTGCCAACGCGTCAAATATGACTGGCCAAAGTACGTGGGTTATTGCGAGGTCAAGTATGATAAACATTACCCACCACGAAATCAAATTTAAATGGACCATTTTGTGTGCGATATTTCTCTGGCATTTCCATTACATTTTGGGGGTAGGATTTTTTCTTCCTTTTTATTGTTGTTGTTTTTTCTCCATTTTTTTTGGGGGGGGGGGGGGTACGTGGTGGTGGTGTGGTTTATTTTGGTTTGATTTTGTATATGTTTGTTCTTTTTCACTCAATACTTTCCGTCTATCAATCACCTTCTTTTGTAGAAGTAGCTATATTCATCATAAGTTCACTTAATTTCCAAACTATCTATAGGCCTTTATTATACAGCAATGCGTTTTAATAAAGCATTCTCTAGATTTTATATATAGGAACGATATGTCCTTCAATCTTATATCGCGATAAAGATGTACATGTAAGTCAATAAGGTAATTGGACTAGACAACCATTTTGTACAGATTTTTTTTTTAAGGCAAACCAAAGTTTAGCATAATAACCTGCGTTTTCATCGAATCATGTTATTTGATATAGACTTTTGTTATACTTTCGTGTTGTTTTTTCGTTGTTTTGTTTTGCTATCGTAATATCTGCCCTGACTTAGTATCTTCCCTGACTTTATTATAATACTTCCCCAGATAGCAAAATGTTGTGGGGCCCATCTGGGTTTTATCTGGTTACAACTGGGCTGGCCCATCTCTTGCCCACTTGGCCCATTTGGCCCAGATGGGTCCCAGATAGGCCCCATGTGGGGCCCAGCAATCTGCACCCGGGTTATAGAAGGGCCCCAGATGGGCGGCCCAGATTGTACCCACTTGGCCCAGATGGGCCCACGTGAAACCCAGATGTACCCCACAATTGGCCCATCAATATACACAAGGGTTACCTATTGGGCACCAGATGGGCCATATGTGGGTTTTATGTGGGACCTACCACATTCTATATATGGGTCAAGTGGGTTCTATATGGGCCCGATATGGGCTATAAGTGGGTTTTTATATGGGATCCATATGGGCCAAGTGGGTTTGATCTGGTCCCATATGGGCCAATGTGGTTTTAAATGGGCTTCATATTGTTTAAATGGGTTCCTATTTTTCCCAGTTGAATTCATTTATCCCATTTCAATTTCCAGGGTTACCAGTTGGGTTTAACTGGACCAGTCGTACCATTTGGCACAACTTTCAACCACTGATTGAAAGCTCCAATTAGCAGACATAATTAGTAGGTTATGTAGCACTTGTACTAATTAATTTGGTCAATGGCAACAACACATCGTCTAACATTTCCAATGTAAAGGCATTGGTGTTAAGAAGACTTGGTTAATTTGCTGTGATAAGACATTTCCATATACTTGTATTTTATTGAATCTGTTTTAGATTATAGTTAGTGTTTTTTTCTAATTCATGTTTAATTAAATGTAATTTAAACAAAGTAGTGAAATTTCCTAATAATTGGCAATTTACATTTTGTAGTATTTTTGAAATGAATTATTGCAAATAACTAAATCATCAGTAATTAAGAAATATCCTGTAAATTTTGATAAATTGTTAAAAAAACATAGATGTGCACGCACCCCATACTCATTATGCAAATGATAGGATATATTTGTGGGTTTTGGGTGGGAAGGCCCATCTGGTATACATCTGGTTTTCAGCTGGGCGAAGACAATGTTCGACGTGCGATTTTCACCACTAAAAACCCACATGGAGCCCATATGGGCCCTATATGTGTTGGTACTTGTGGGTTCTGGATGGGAAGGCCCATCTGGTATACATCTGGTTTTTATATGGGCCACGTGGGCTCCGTATACCTGTGGGTTCTTGGTGGGAAGGCCCATCTGATTTACATCTGGTTTTCAGCTGGGTGAAGACAATCTTCGACGTGCAATTATCACCACCAAAAACCCACATGGGGCCCATATGGGGCCTATATGTGTTGGTACTTGTGGGTTCTGGATGGGAAGGCCCATCTGGTATACATCTGGTTTTTAAATGGGCCACGTGGGCTCCGTATACCTGTGGGTTCTTTGTGGGAAGGCTCATATGGGATACATCTGGTTTTCAGCTGGGTGAAGACAATCTTCGACGTGCGATTATCACCACCAAAAACCCACATGGGGCCCATATGGGGCCCATATGTGTTGGTACTTGTGGGTTCTTGGTGGGAAGGCCCATCTGGTATACATCTGGTTTTTAGCTGGGCCCAGCCGATGTTCGACGTGCGATTTTCACAAACAAAAACCCACATGGGGCCCACATGGGGCCCATATGTGTGGGTTCTGGGTGGGAAGGCCCATCTGGTATACATCTGGTTTTTGTATGGGCCACGTGGGTTTTAGTCAGCCCATACAAAACCCAGATGGGCCCCAGATAAGTTTTGCTATCTGGGTCACGTACGTTCACCCCCACCCCCCCCCCCCCCTCTCCCCCCCCCCCTCCCCCCTCTCTCTCTCTCTCTCTCTCTATTAGAGCCATCTATTATGTTTTGATTCGTTTGCCTTTGTTTCGTTCAGGTTTCTAAACATACATTTATATATCATTGTGCTTCGTTTTGTCCGTTTCTGTGTTCGTTTTTATCATAATCGTATTGGGCCGGGTTTATTAACATTTCATTTCAGTGAATATTTTGAGTGTGAAGTAATTGGAAAATAATATACATCTAACTTCAGTTCATGATGATAATGAATGGTCGAAAATTTGAACTAGTCATGACTCCGTTCTGAGCTTCTTTCTTTTTTTATAGCACCGTATATATAGCAGCTATGAATTTTAAGGAGTCACATTAGGAATTATTAACTTTAGAGTTATCTGCTACGTGTAACAAATCGGAATACACTCTAAACTAGTTGGTAAATATATCAAATTAAAAAATAATAATAGATTCCACTTTTTTTGGATTTCCGCTCCAAGTGATCCTCAATGACTCCTCCAAAAGTGGACGTTCATTCCTCTAAATACGTATCAGGACAATTATTTGTACCCGCTGGAAAAATACCCCCCCCCCCCCCCCCCGGGGGGAGGGGGGAGGGGTAATAATATTAATAATAATATTATTGTCGTAGTGAGTAATTTTTAGGTGGTTAACATCCTCGGGGGTAATTGTCCACGGGGGTAGTCCCAGGGGGCAGGGCCGCGTCGCCAGAATTTTATGGGTTTTTTTTGGGGGGGGCACATACATGTAATCGATGCCGACGTCCTCAGGGAGGGGTCTAACAAATTTCAACCAATCTTGGAAATTTGGGGGCACGTGCGAAGTACCGCATGCGACTTTAGGTTACTTAATGAAGCTATATCTTGACGAGTACTCTTCCAGAGGATATGAAAATAGCAAAAGTGACTCCACTTTATAAAAAGAAAGATAACACTGATGTTAGAAACTAGACCTATTAGTGTTTTAAGCGTAGCATCAAAGATTCTAGAAAATCGGTCTGTGTTCAAATAGAAAAATACTTCAAAGACTGAAATTCAATCTGGGTTTCGACATGACTATTCGACTGAAACATGTTTAATTCATTTGACTGATTATACATTTTGAGGAGAGAAACTTCCAAAGGGCACTTTGTTGATATGGTGCTCCTTGATCTGCAAAAGGCTTTTGATACAGTTAATCATTGCGTCTTATTGAAGAAGTTAGAACTAGTGGGCTTTAGTTTAGAGTGGTTCAGATCCTACTTGTTTAATCGACACCTAGTAGTGGCCACTCATGATATTCGTTCCAAACTAATGCCGATAACATACGGTGTTCCTCAGGGAAGCAGGCCAAATTCTATTTACAAGTTATATCAATGAAAATGTAAAAGACTTTAAACTATCATTGTACGCACAAATGAGATGGCAGCGTACTACTATTTTCAAATCCTAATCCAACATGTCTTGAGGAAAAGCTTAGTGAGCAGCTTAGCTATCTAAGTTTTTCGATCGGATGACTGATAATAAGCTTTCTTTACACTTGAGAAAAAACAGAAAGCATTAATTTGTTTTGTTACAAAAGTACTTCTTACAAGTTATTTGAATTAAAAGTGACACACAATAATCAAATAATCAAGAGATAGCGCAATTTCATTTTCATCTTTAGAAGAATCAGTTGAGTGTAAAAAAACAAATTCTCGTCTAAAATTTTGTTTCTTATCGGTCTGTAAATATTTTATCAATTGTGTAATGTCTGTCGGGACCTCACTGGAAATAAGCTCTCGAGCTTTCGTGGGTTATCCTGTTCAAGCTGACTTAATTTTTATCTGTTATTCTTGTATATTGCTGTATGTTGGAAGCTTGGCGAATAAAAATCAAACAATAACTCGGAAAAGACATGAAATTAGGTTGTTGTTAAGCGATGAACCCCCCCCCCCCCCCCAAAAAAAAAGGCCCGGCTTCTTTGAGCAGAAATGGTCTGACATGCCTGCGATGGTTTAGAACAGAGAGTATAAGTATCCAATAGCATAGCGCCCTCATTCGATTTACTGCACACAACTTGAGGCATCGAGAACAATACTAAAAAAAGCCGTAAATAGATTTTTGTTTAATGAGAGAGAGAGGGGGGGGGGGGGGGGGGGGGAGAGGGAGAGAGAAGGAGAAGGGTATGAGAGAGGAGGGGTAGGGGAAAGGGGGTGGATAGAGCCATTCAGGGAGACAAAGAGAGGGGACAGACGGAAAGACACTCA